TCAGGTCTCTCACTTGCAAAGCGAGTGCTCCAACCACTGAGCTACAGGACTCCACAAAATGTGTTTCCTGTGAAGAACCAGACTATTTTCAACTATTCAGATAGGATTGTTGATCTAGGCATGCTGAGTTCAACAATTAATCGCATACCCCAACCCATGGAGTTTGAAGGTGACTGATTCTTGAAGAGCAGCAGACATAGAAATTTATCTGAACCCAGTGTCATTATTTCCATTAAGAATTGGACTATGAAGAATAACGTAAAATAATCCAATTTGTTTTCTTGGCAACTGACTCCAAACTCAAATATGCTGGGAGAGATTTAGTGAAATCCATACAACACGCAGTGAAAATGTGGTTTCTTCAACCCTCCTCTTCGACCATGCCATTGGTCACCCTACTTCCCCTCCCCTCCCTTCTCCCCCCCTGACCCCAGCTCGGATCTGAAACGCTGTACACTGTCCAGTGCCTTGGGACATTCTCCCGACATGAAAGGCTCTATACAAATGTAATCTTGTTGTTGTTGTTGTTCATGAAGGTGGTAAATATTGGTGGGATACTGTTTAATACCCAGTCATGGTTGTCTATTAAATTAATCAAATAACCGTACTGTGCCTTCTCATGAGCTGATATGATTTGAATGGGCTTTAGACTTCAGAGTTCATTTAGCAAAACCCAATCCTACCTTTACTTTGTCCTTCCACAAACCTCTCATGCACACTTCCAGGAAGTAATTAGCTGCAGGAACACCAGCTGTTTTTTTCCTTTCCTTACATCTGTGAAATTGACAATTGCCAATTGTAACACCTCCTGCCATGCTGGTCTCAGTTAACTCAATAGTTAACTCAACAGAAGCTAGGAACTTTCAGTTCTGTGTGCCATACAACCACCTCACTGATATATCCATTGAGCCAGTGGAGCTCAGAATTGGCTGCCTTAATAGAACAAACTTAGGAATTGATAAAGTTATGCCAAGTTTATACTGTACTTTTTATTCTTTAACATTAAAAATCTAACACGGCTAGCAGAGTTTGGCATATGTATTATTCGTGCATGAACAGTCTTCTTCAATGCTCCTAACTCCTGATCTAGCTAACAGTTACACCCACAAGCTAATAGCAAAGGTTTATGCAAACTATCACCCAGTGCTTGGAAACAGGTGAGTAAAATTGTGGACGTGCAACTCATATGTATGTCTTATAGGCTATAAGACGTAACTTTCTAACATGACTTGTCATATCCTTTACAATCTAAACAGCCCTTCTCTTAAACCAATGCAAATTTGAGTAGAATGAAATGTGACCAAGAGCCAGATAAAGTTCGAATGTCATGTTCGAGGGCAATTTTAGGTGAACGAGATGTACAGCCTTACTTCTATACCAGAAGTGTTGGCGTGAATCAGCTAACACTTACTGCCCTACCTAGCCAAGATCAATGCAAGAAACATTCTGATTTTCCCACCATAATACTTGTCATAGCCTCAAAGGAAGGAATATGTTAATATGTGAAGAATACAACCATGACAGTATCGCATGTCTACTGACCTACTTGTCTGGAAGCAACATATTGCTATCCAGACTGCTTCTAATTCCAACCTTTGAAATGTTATCCAGGTGCCCTGTATCAATCTGTCCTCCAGGTGGAAACTCCATACTGTGAGGGCGCCAATTACTAGTTGGATTTAGAGAAATACTGCTCCAAACGTTCCACTACCATATGGCCTCCACTGACAAAAAGTTCATTACCATTGCCTGATGCAGGCAATATCCTGGAGTGACTGCAATTGTGACTTCTCTAGATCTGTAGCTATCACTAACTGGCATTTGAAGGTTCTGAGTGTGTCAGTTAGCAACATCTTGTTCTGGTAGCACTTCATTGCAAACCTTTCTATTGCATTTCTTAAACGCTCTGTGGTAATAGGCATCTTTATGTTTGATGGCACCAATCAACCACACAATTTGAATAATTATGGGTAGGATGGCCATTTTGAATGGAATTTGAAGAATATATTTGACCTTCTGCCATTTGGGATTGGTCTGCAACCAAATCCTTTTGGCATAACAAAACACTAGAAATAAAATCTGCTTCTCTCTGTGTCTTCTCACCATAATAAATGTCTCATGACTCATGACATTAAATCTCCCTTGAAAAACATCCCTTCCCCAATAACACAACCAGTGACACAATGCATTGGAATCTTTGGAGAGGATCGATAGCCCTTGGATGTGATCTTCCCTTATTCAAGTGACACAAGTAATCGTCTTCTGGTGAATCATGTGAATAATATTTTGCCTCTGTTTGGGCAAAACATATTTGTTGACAAACATGCTATTATACCATTTTTACCGGAATTTCTGAGAACAAATTAAGGAATAGCCCAAATAGCTCTTTTGTTAATTGTACCTTAAGCAATTTTCCATCTTAATTGAAAAACACTTACATTCTCAATTTGAAAATTAAATTATTGATCTACAATAAAGTTATGACTTAATGGCAAAGAAAGAATTTTTATTCTGACCATTAGCAAATCCAACAAAAAATATATTTGATAGAAAATTATTTAAAATATTTTTTCTTGCTGCTAATATGCTAATTAATATCAAAATATTACTTTTGTGTATTTATATTAATTCATTCAGCTTGTAATTAACACAAGTAATTAACACATTTTAGCATATAGTTTATGTACTTCAGTTTGTAAATATTAACTTTTAAGATACAGATAGAAAACTTTCATATTACTATGACAGTAGTACGCTTTCCGATTTGAATGCTAACATAACATTGTGGTCAAAATTAATTTGTTTTGTTTTGCTAACTTATGTATTGCTTGTTACAGATTTGCAGCCTCAGCTGAACAATGTAACCTTTAATTCTGCAATTGCTCAATATGTTGTGGGTGTATTGCATAAACTACTGTCAAATTCCACACATAAAACAATCACAATTTTTAAAGATCTTTGCATAGTTTCAAAATTGCTAATGACATAAAATGTAATTTACATCCCAAAACATTTGATATAACTACGTTCGGAAAAATAAACAAAATATAATATTAGTGTGTAATACCCACGGTTCCCTATTAGTCCAGTACTTCCAAGTTAGATTTCCTGGTTGACAAAGTTCATTGATCTAAAACTTTCCTGCACATCCAGCATCCCTATCCTCACCAAGTTCCAATGGCTCTCTGGCACATGACAAATTTGTTTTCAAGATCCTCACCCTCCTATTCAAAGCCTTACTCCATATCTGTAGTTTTCTTCAGCTCTCCATCTATGCACCCGCTTGCTCATCTAACACTTATTACTCTCTCACCCACCATTTCTTCCTCTCCACCAAGTCTCCAGCTACCACATCCTTATTTCTGAATTCTCTTCCAAAACTATTTTGCCTCCATACCTTTTTCAGTTCTTTCAAAACTATCCTGAAGCTGTCTGTATCTTTTGCTCCCATTCCTAATGTCTTTGAGACTTTCTTTCATATGAAAGTGGCTTTATAAATGCAGTTGTTTCCCTATTCTGGGAGTTCTCCAATATAAAAAAAAGTACATCAGAAACCATTATGGACAAGGAAAGCATGACTAACTATTTTTCCATTAAGGTTAATTACTTATGTTTCAGTCACTTTATGAATGATGTTTGGATTATATTGCAAAATGAAAGTAAAAATGGGCTAAGTTAACTTGTGGCTTTGACAATTATATATTTTCTCTACAACAACATTGTGAGAGTTAAAGAGTTTAAAAATTCCATAGTGTAAAAATTTCCATAATACTTAGTGTAAAAAGAGAAACCTCTGCTAAGAATTTGAAAGTAGGTTGTCAGTGTTCTGGTAAACAGTATTGAAGTATTACTTCCATAACACAGCTAGTTATTTATGAGTAGAGCTGGTTTAAAATACACATCTAAAAAACATTTTTCCTTACCACAACATTCCTTGATAATTAAAGTCTGATCCAATATATATCTGCGTCAGTACATAGATACATGATACAAAATACTTTATAGTATACCTTGTGCGATGTTCCAATTTTTGGGGGAAAGCAAAGATAGAATTATTTATTGATATTTGTGCACTACACTTAAAAATGTGAAATAAAGAATAAGTGTTATGAATGACACATTTTAGTGATCTGACATGGAAAACATGAGGTAAACTTTCAACATATGCCAACTCAGGTTAATGTTTCAAGCATGACCCTGCTTTGTGCTGAAAATGTTAAACCTACTTTTCTCTTTCAGATTCTGATTGAACTGCTGTGGACTTCCAGCATTTGTTTTTGATTTCCAGATTTTTTTAGTTTTTCTTTGTTTCTTGTAAAGCAACTTAGTTAGCTGTTCTACAACATGGCAATGTATTACACATGCTGACCAGCAGTTTGAAATTATTATTTTTTAACCACTATATTTTTCTCTATATTCTGCTAAATATTATGCATAGACTGAGGCTGCTTTGTTTGCTTGTAGTAACTCATCAAAATATTCTTCCAGACATTTCTAGACACATCGATTTCGAAAAGCGTCTGCTTTATGAACCTAAAGCAGCCTTCATAAAACAAGTCTGTCAGTTGCAATTAACCTACTCTTCGGAACTCTACCCTGCTGAAACAGTTGCAGAAAAGATAAGACAATTAAAAAAAATGTTTTACCATCTTAGTTTAACAGCTTGTTGGCTAGTGCCTGACAATACTACAACACAAAACGAGGCAGTCAAAATGAGCTGTTAGGGTGAGGTTATGCCCTTCGTGTTGTGTTATCTGCCAGCAGATCAAACTGCTGACTTGGGCTCTTTCTGCCAACAATGCTGATGCTGCCTGTATGAAGATGCTGTCACCTAGTAGTCATGGTGTTTGCACTCCACAATAGAAAAGCACTAAATTGAACTCGAAGTATTGTCTTTGTGATATCATTTCAGCAAGTCATGTCCCATTCAGCCTGATAGTTTATCTCTGTCAGGCAGGGACCCAGGCGGCTACACAAGCTGTCAGGACAGGTACACAGACCTGATCAGTACTGAGGAGGTAATGCATCTTTTGGGCTTCATAATGCTTTCTTCTCTCTTCCTTTTCTTGGGCTTTTTTCTTTCGTTCCCTCTCCTTTGTCTCTGCATACTCTTCTAGTTCTTTTCTATATTTGGGTGAAGAAATGCACATAAAGAAGCTGAACAAAGCAAAATCTATATGCAACTCTTTCAGTTTCAATAGTTATGGCTTTTTCAATTACTCTTAAGCATAATATTTTACTCAAGGTTACTACAGTGAATATATTGACATTTAAAAATCACATTGCTTTACTTTTGCAGAGGTGCAATTTTTATCAACACTGGACTAAATTGCAAAGTAAATGTATTACCTAGAGTGACATGGCCCCATTTTACAATCCTGCTACTGAAATTGCTTATTAATATGAAATAAGAAGTTAGAGAATAGCCAGTTATGTTTATGCATAGTTTTTCAGGTCTTAAGAGCTTGAAAAGTTGTACTTGCTATGCTGTTTTTAACTGCACTGAAACCTGGTAATATGACCTTTCCTGACCTGCATCTCAAAGCTATTATTAACTGCTAAGTAGGTTGGTAAAGCCAAACAAATTTATTTCCAATGAAAGGATCTCTATCTGTGTCTGAAGCTTTGTACTGCACCGAACAAACTTCATTAACTCCGTCCGTTTCTGTCAGAAACCTAAGATGTTTGGAACATCAGTGACCTCTTTTGTCCTTAAAGAAGAGATTTTGTAGCAATTAAACCACAGTACAAAATAGCATTTAAAGTGAAATGTTGCTATGGAAAAGGAGTTCAGAAAATTCTACCACAAAAAACATGATGAAATCACCATCAATACCAATTTGAAAACTAAGAAATAAATTAATCTTTGCATATGTTGGTTTAACAAATTGAAAAATAAACGGCAGGATTCTCTGCATCATTTAAGTACTAACTATTTAACTGAATATCTGATGTTAAGTTTAAAACACTCTGATTATATTAATTTCTATTACTTAAATATTTTACTTCAATAAACCACACTTTTCAAGCAGATCTACAAATGAAAGTACACACGGTTTACATTCTGCACGATCTTCACGATAGCTATAGGAGTCATGTTTGGACATAATGTAAAAGCAAAAATTCAACAAATGAAATACAGTCTAATGTACACATGCAATAATTTAAATCACTTACTGTTTAAATTTGCCTGTTTTATTGCGTAGCACAAATTCATTATTTTAATGTAAAGTTAGATTCAAGATGTTTAAATAATTGATTATAAGGGTATCTTAAAATGTAAATTGTCGAAAACGTAATAATTGGGAACATCTCAATCGGTGCTGAAAAATAACAGTGAAATCCGGCACCGGCATTGTTATTGTTTGAATCCTGCTGGCAGAAGATTAAGAATAAGCTATCTTGTGTTTGTGGGATTCAAACTGAGCCTAACTCGATATCCCTGTCCACTGAAGGCCAGCAAGGGTAATGAAATGGGTGTGCGCGCTAAGTGAGTGGGCTGGCGGGAGGTTACACACACGCGGGCCACAGAAATGATTCTGTTTTGGGCCTGGTCCAGCTAGGTCTGAATTCCTGTAAGCTGGGGTTTTATTGTACTGTATTTGAAAACGGAAGGAGGGTTCCTCCGGTCTTGGCCAAAAACTCTTCAAATAAAATTGATCATTCATTTCATGGCTGTTTGTAGGACATTGCTGTGGTGGCAAATTGGCTGCTATGTTTGCCGACAAAATACACAGTTATGACACTTTACAGTAAGTCCTATGAAACGTTTTGAGATGTTCTCCCAACATGAAAGGTGTTATATCAAATGCAAAGATTATTATTATTCCAGCATATGCATATTGTAGTTCAGAATAATTACAATTGTAGTTCAGAATAATTAGTACTACTAATATATCCTGATTAAAATACACAAACTGTATTTTCTAAAAAGGCTGTAGCTTACTAAATACTGTACATATTCAAACAAAACATTTTTTAAAAAACAGATTTATCAGTTATACTAGATTTTATTAAAAATTGCAGGAAGTTTGAATTTTTTACCTTTTACAGCAACTTAAACTATTTGCTCCTCATCAATTCCATGGTTGGTATTATTACAGGCAGTGTCCACCTTCCATTACCTAACATAAATTTGTAGCAGAAGCTTTGTGTCCCACCCCCTCCAATATAGCATGAAACATGTTTTTATGCAAAAAAAATGTTTGGTTTTGGAGGGGTTAAATGAATTGCCTCACCAGAGAAAACTTACACAGGGAAAATTATCTGATCATGGCAGTAATAATTGCACAGCTGTTTAACTCAGATAGAGAAATAATTCATGTAGGCAATAGGCCGTGGTGGCAATGACATTCTGCATTTAGTAAATATGCAAACTGTTCAGTTCTAATTACCCATACTAAAGGATGCCCTTATTAAATGTATAAACTCAAACTGTCTGCTTGACAAGTGATAAATTATTATATTCTGCAAATCTGTACTACAAAATTATGACAGTGAACTTGGGTCTTCTAACTTCATTAAGTGATTTTGCAGGGAAGTTGAATGATCAGAAGATGGACACTGCCTGTAATAATGTAACTATGGAATTGACAAGGAGCAACAGTCTTCCACAGTGCAATTACTCTGTTACTTTTAGTATTCCTCAGTCAGGCCCTTTCCAGAATAAATCAGGAGCAATTTAAAGAAAGAACATTTCAAGATTCTACACATGACTAAAATGTTTGCTTTGACTTTAGCAATAAATAACAGTAGCTTTTCTGAGCTCCAAGCTAATAACATTTTATTAATGTCATGACTCAGCAACAGGGTGGCTATTTTTTAATTTCATGATATCATTTGCTTCATCCAAACATTGGTCTGTGTTTTTGCATATCTGGTTAGAGGTTAGAAGTGTAGAAGCTTACCAATTGCATACTCAGCCTTTAAATTAATCAGATCAATTTATCACTGTAATAACACAAGTCTTAATTTGAAACCATATTAACAGCTGCACACATGTAATAAAATGTCCAGGTGACTATAGTTGAGATAAATAACATATTTAAAATTAGGAGCTTTCTATTGCAGACAAATTTGGTTGAAAATTATTCTACACCATTAGAATGCCGTGTTATTTCAGTAATGGAAAGTCCTATCAAACATCACTACATGCAGTCTTACACTAGTTCAGCCTGTTCATCTCTCATTTGATTTTACATTGGATGATGACAGAAAATATCACACAGTTTAACAGTTTTTCAAACTTTATTTTGTAACAATATTTAAAAATCTTCTTATAAATTATGCATATATTATGGAAAAATGCTGTTTCATCTTTGCCACCAAGATAATATATTTTTAGTTTTCTACCATTTTCTCATGTGTTGGGACTTAGTTCTGTTGGGGCTCCTATCTCTACCTTACTTCAGTGGCCGTTCATTATGTTTGAGCCTTGACAATGAGTATAAGCAGGGTATTTAGCTCGGGGGGACTTAATTGCTGAGTCATATACCGTTCACGAAGGAACATCGCAAAACCACACTTTCCAGCAGACATCAATAGAGAATAATCATGACAGGGATCCTGGCTGATTTTGTTCCCTCTACTTAGGACCGTGAAACAAATTGTTCTACTCCATCTGAGATCAGCCAATTCCAGCAGAGACCAAACATTGGGGTCTGGGACCTTCATGGACTACCTGTCTCACAATCATGACTTAATGCATTTATCTACTGATCAATCAGAAAAGCCAGGTGCCAAGATTTTGTCTGTAGGATCTGCATTACTTCTAAGATAGTACAGATACCAATGGATATCATAATGTATCATCCATGTTGATTAATTGTAGGCATTATTCTTTAAAGAATTTACACTGGGAAATCTTCAAAATGAGTAAATTTTCAACCATTTCTCTTTTTTTGTATATGTTTGATTGCTTTACAAATTCCTAAGCAAGTACTGACAGAAAGTAAATCTTTACTCATGGGTTTATAAAATACAGAAGTCATGGAACTCTTACCTTATAATCTGATTTTTCATGCAAAGTCCTCTGAAATACTTTTTCATTGCACAGTAATCATGGATGTACTTTCTACTGTAATATCCATGCCATCTTTTCTGGATCTGGCAAGGCAATTATGAATATGTTAGCTTTTTCATGTATTCACTTTAGTCTAGTACTGTATTTCTTTGAATATTTGATATAATTTTCAGCTTTTGAGGTAAGTTTTTCTACAAATGATTCTCCCTTCTTAAGGTTTCCCCATTCCATGGGCCATTTCCAGGACCAAAGATCCTGTAGCTCAGTGGTTAGAGCACTCGCTTTGCAAGTGAGAGACCCGAGTTCAATTCCAGGCAGGGCGAAACCTTGGGCAAGTTTCCTTACTCCACACGCCTAATAATAATCCCTCCAAAACCAAAAACAATAATAAATTGGTCATTTTCAATCCATGACTGTTTGTGGGACATTGCTGTGCTGCCGCGTTCGCCCACAAATATACAGTCAATTCACTTTACAGTGTATTCTGTGAAGCGCTTTGGGTCGTCCTCCCGACGTGAAAAACGCTATACAAATGCAAGGATTATTATTATTATTATTAGACAACCTGCTGCAGGCATCTGCCAATGCTGCTCTTAATCTAGCCACTAGGAGTCTAATTTATCCCTCGCAGCAGACATTGAACCCAGCGTGACTTACCCTTAAGTGCCGAGTCTCTGCTTACTGCCTCCTTACTGGCTGCAGAGCAAAAGTAAGGATTTATACTGCATCACAGGTGTAAATTTATAATAATAATAATCGTTGCAATTGATATAACACTTTAAGACGTCATTGAGATGTCTCAAAGCACTTCACAGAATATATTGTAAAGTGGATTGATTGTGTGTTTTGTGGGAAACTTGCCTAAGGTTTCAGCCTGCCCGGGAATCAAATCCGGATTTTCTCGCTTGCAAGGCAAGCACACTAACCACTACTCTACAGGACTCCATGCTTAGATCTTGCCATTCAATGGTGCAATATATTGGATCAAATATAAAGCTTTCTTCCTTAAATTTCTAAAAATTGTGTTTAATGCAATGCATTAGCTGAAATAAGTATAATAAAAGGATATTCTTTTGGAATATTTTCTAATTTAATCTGGTGACCCTTTTATAATCTCAGTACAAAAATACTTCCAGTTCTCAGAGGGTTAAAGCGTTTTCATAATATTCATTGAAATGTAGTCAAATTGAAAATGAACAGAAAGGGTATTGAAACTTGTTTATATTTCCAGACTTTTTAAAGAATGTGAAATGATGAATCTCAATGTATCCTTTCATCTTTGATGAATCCCAGTGCTAACGGGAAGAAATCAATATATATTATATATAAAAGGATGTTAATAAGATGGAAAATAAAATAAAAAAAAAAAATCAAATACAAGTATATCATGCTTTTTTTTAAATGTAGGTCTCTGAAAATCCAGTTTGCCCCCAAAATTCTCTGGGCACGTACGGCTGAGTTAGTTTTAACCCCTTATTTGTATGCCAAAATTATTGTCATTGATTAATGCCTTGTTGGAGATTTCAATGGAAGCAAATGTGTGCTCAGCAGATAACATCTTCTCAACAGTCAAGCACATCCCTTTCCAAAAGTCAGCTGTAAGTGACCTTTAGAATCATCCAATCAATTATGCAGATTCCTCATTAAATAATGTCAGTCCACAACCAACCAACCCAATAATTTACAGATGTAACAACACTTAATATATAAAACTGGTATTTCCAAAAGTTAAGAAAAAACAATGAATAAAATCTTGCTGTTCAGGAAATCTATGAAACAAATTTATTACTTTACTAACAGTAACAAAAGGTTGGTCAATAATTTATTTTTAAATTTAAATGTTTTTATTTCTCTTTTCTATTTGGAATTTCATCTTCACACTCTTCTGTTTCCAACCAGGAGAGGAGGCTGGTCTAGCACTGTCTCATGTGGTGTCCCTCAGGGCTCTGTCCTCGGTCCCCTCCTCTTCACCCTCTATATGCTCCCCCTCGGTGACATCATCCACAGACATGGAGTTAACTTCCACATGTATGCGGATGACACCCAACTCTACCTTTCCTCCTCTACTCTCAACTCCACGACCACCGATGTCCTGACAGCTGCCTGTCCGACATCGAGTCCTGGACGAGAGACAACTTTCTTCAGCTCAACGTGCGAAAAACCGAGGCCCTCCTGATTGGCTCACGTCAGCGCCTCCGCACCTCAGGCGCTGACACCATCAGCATCCAAGGCTGCACTCTCCACCTCTCAAAGCCAGTCAGGAACCTCGGGTTTTGTTCGACCCTGAGCTGTCCTTTCTCCCTCACATCCGCACCACAACTGGCACCGCCTTCCATCACCTCCGGAACATCGCCAGACTACGGCATTACCTCACCCCTCACGCTGCTGAAACCCTGGTTCACGCCTTTGTCACCTCAAGGCTGGACTACGGGAACTCTCTCCTCGCCGGCCTTCCCGCACCTCCCTCCACAAGCTGCAGGTCATTCAGAACTCTGCAGCTCGTGTACTGTCCCGCACCAGGCTTCGCGACCACATCACTCCCACCCTCGCTCGCCTCCACTGGCTCCCCATCCCCCAGAGGATTGATTTCAAGATCCTCATCCTCACCTACAAGGCCATTCACGGCCTTGCTCCCTCCTACCTCTCCAACCTACTATCCCCCTACCTACCCGCCCGTACCCTCCATTCCTCCGGCTCCGGTCGGCTCCACGTCCCCCGCCCCAACCGCCCTACCATCGGTGGTCGGGCCTTCAGCCTCTCAGTCCCCAGGCTCTGGAACTCCATCCCCCAGTGCCTTCGCCTTGCTTCCTCCCTTTCCTCCTTCAAGGCCGGTCTCAAAACCTTTCTCTTTGACCGTGCCTTCAGCTCCCCTATCGACTCTCTTCCCCCTTCTCGCTCCCTCCCTTCCCTCCCCTCACCCTGACCATTTCCCCCCTCCTCGCTCCCTCCCTTCCCTCCCCTCACCCTGACCATTTCCCCCCGCTCGGGTCATGACCCAACTGTGCAGCGCCTTGGGACGTCCTCCTGACGTGAAAGGCGCTTTATAAATGGAATCTTGTTGTTGTTGTTGTTGTAGCCTTTGGACTTCTTTTTGGCCTATCTCTGCCAACAAGCTCAGCAAGTCACTAATTTCAGGACAGATACCAGGAAGTTTTTCTTTACGCAGAGGGTGATCAACAACTGGGACAAGTTGCCAGGAAAGGTGGTAGAGGCCAGGACCCTAGACTCAAAAAGCAGCTTGCTGCTGTGATGGGGGTTGGTAGCAAAGGTGTTCTGGAGGGATGAGATTGGATGCGCCAAAGGGCCTTCTCCATCCAAACGCATCTTGTGATCTCCAGTCCATTTCCCTCAGTGAAGAATTGATTTCAAAAAAGTTACCTTAGTCAGAGACACAAACTGGAGCTTTTGAGTTCTATAATCTTACTTTTGCTACTACAGTATCCCAAACAGTTTGTTAACTGAAAAGCACTGTGTTCAAGGAAATATTTTAAACAAACTAAATGGCTTTCCATCTGTACTAGTACTGTAATTACTGTGAATCCTTAAATTTCCCCAAGTGCTCCCTGCTCAAATTAGTTTTAATGTTTTCATAGCTTTTGCATTCATTACTTGATGCTTCTGTTGCATTATGACTCCAGGATTACAAAATTTATTTTCGAAGAGAACCCAACTTCTTTTCCATAATTTAACATTTTACAGGCATGACATTTGACAATTTCTGAAGCTGAATACTAAACAGAAAGATCAATTTCTTCTTAAGCAGCAGCAATAGATTTGTTCACTGAACGTTTGTTCAGTGAACAAACGTACTCCGTTTGTTCACTGATATTTTGTTGATTTAGTTGCTCTTTTGAACTCATTTTATTTTTTTTCCACATAATTCCAATGAACTGCAAAGCTACACGTACTGTTGTAGCTGCATACTTTCATTAAACACAGTTAAAATCTCCTATCAATTGGATTGAAGTATATTATTACTCTTATTGATTAAACCTGTTATCTTGTAACACTACACCTCAATTGTGTAGTTGCTATAGATTCAGCATATTGTGTAACTGAACCATATATACCAGAAATGTCCCAATTTGAAAGTGGGCTAAATACTCCAAGAATAAGGACTTGGACCCACACCATATCGCCATCCGGTGACCTTTGCTGGAGATTGTTTGTGTTTGGATATTCAGGGCATTATACTGCCAAATTGAAAATTGAAGACAAGAAACAAAAAATTCACGAATTTATTTTGGTAGTGAATAAAATATCCTATGATGTTTTCACATCAAATATTATTTTTTTTGTCAATCAGTGCTAATTTTGTGACCCCTACAACAATGGTAAATGAGTTAATTAATCAATTAATACATAACTGTTCCTTCCTCAAAATCAAATATAAAACCTGTTTCTCCTATAGATGGTTCCCACAAGATGGCATAATTGTGACAAAGCACAGATTAATAGATAGCACTATCTGTCCTATGAATGGCCGACTACACATTGTCATTCTTCTGCTAAATTTTAAATACATTTTAGGTAAAAACACACAGAATAATTTATACAATAAATCAAAAATGTCTTTGTCCTACTATATCACTTACACTTTTGGAGATTGAGTCTCTTATTACTTCCAATTTGAATTACCAAATATAGTACAAAAGCATATTTAGAGCACAATTGATGTTATCGTTTGTTGAATAATGCGAGAGATATATTTACCCTGACAGCCATTTCACTGTAGAAATTCATCTTCATAATAAAATATGCTCTCTGTGAATTAAAGAAAAGATAGAATAGACTGTAGTTACAGAAACATATAGCTCAAATTTGACATAGAAAAGTTAAGAATCTTTATAAATAATCCATAATAAGAATTCCAGTCACAGAGAGGAAAAACTCAAATTTTACATCTAAAAGACAGCCATCGTTTTATGTATAATGCAGAGTTAACCATTAAAATATACTATATTCAAATATCATGCTGGTTGAGATAAATCATCATGAAAAGATCTACACTGAGTTTTATGACCAACATTACTCTTCTTAGGCTAGAATAACAAAAGAAGAAATATCCACAAGTGCTTATGGCAATCTGAATTGTAACATTTTAGCCATAAGGTCTTTTTAAGAGTTTCATCGAAGCATAAAGAAAATGTAAATTTTCAAATGTCTGGTTGAATAAAAACTTTAAAGAATCAGTTATTTTAACTCCCAACCTTCAACAACCTCTGTACTAAACAGATGCCTTCTAATCATCGGTGCAAGATAACATATATTTAGCATTCCATATATTTATTATTAGAAAATTTGCAACATTTAAATTGTTCATCTGGTCATAACATAAATCATTTTACTAAAGCAGCAGAAAACCTTTTGGGTAGTATATACAAATAATATTATTTACTAACTCCAGATAGCCCAGTGAGCAATTACATTGCCCTGTGCAGCGTTGAGTCGTAGAGACTCAAAAGATCACTAGTTTGATTCGTAGTCTGCGCTGGGTTGACTGAATGATCTCAACCAGGGTAACTATTGGTGCACTACAATTACGATCAAAGTCACTTAGGGATTCCACTCTTCATTGCAGTCCAAGGATATGTGCTTAAACTGGGCCTGATTTTGATACACTTGCTCGAGATTGAGTAGCCTGCTGTCAATCACTGTATACAGTAGTGAAAGTCCACAGGCAGGTTGGGTGAGCTGTTCAAAGGGATTGTCAGTACAGGTCCAATTGTCCCCCAGCAAAAGTCAATGCCCTTAGCAAAGAATGAAAAATATGAGAAAATTTGCAAAAATGGATATAATATGCTCATCAAACATACAAAAAGTAAATATTTTTGATCAAAAATATGCATTATTCTTTATGTCTCGTTGTCCTAATTAAATAGTTCTTAAACTGACCCACACTACACTGTTATATGCCTGACCTTTTAAGAAACGTTTAGGTTCAGTAAGCTAGCAAATAACTAATACAATGATTAGTTATTTGCTAGCTTACTGAACTGATTAACCCAGTTCTATACTCTATTCCTCAAAGTAATGACATTTTGTTCTGTACGTTTTTCTTATTACAAGAAAGGCAACAATTTTACATCAAGCTTTATGGCAAGATGGTGACCAAGGTTTTTAGCTTGTACTCAGGGATTTTTCAGTCGGGAACTATACCAACTTGTGTGTCAAAACACTGTCTCAGAGTAGGAAAATAAATGATTTCCATTTTTTAAAAAAATCACAATGGTACAATTGTTTCATACCCAATACTTAATTTCCAGTAATCATGAGGCCACAAAACAAAATTGGCCTCCACTTTAATCTACACTTTAAAGGTCCATAATAACTTTTATATTAATAATAACATACTAACTATTGGGTAAGTGGAGAATTTCTTCTGAACTTATCAGCGAAGAAACAATGTGGATGTACTGTGATTAGAACATTATTCTGCATCCTATGTGTAGCTGGCTGCCGCATTTCGCCCACAAAGTAGACACTCAATCCACTTTGCAATATATCTTGTGAAGCGGTTTGAGATAGTCTCAGAAAGATCTTGGAGGGCATTTTACATGAAACTCTTCCCTGTCCCACTTGGAATCCACACCTCACACATTCCAGCTGGGTAATCTTCATCTTCAGATTCAGAAACCTCACCAAATATTTATGAAAAAATTATGGGATTAAGGGATATGGGGATAAGGCAGGGTTATGTTATTAGCTGGAGTTAGATTGGAAGATCAGCCATGATTGAATGGCAGGGCAGGCTCGAAGGGCCGAATGGCCTATTCCTGCTCCTGCATGTTGTTAAGCTAACCCTTTATATTCATGCAGAGTGTGGGCATTCTAATTAGATACTGTAGAATGGATCCAAGGTTTGCAAACGGGGCAACATGTCAATATACATGAAATAAAAGTTGGGACGATATTGATGTCCTGCCAGCAATAATGTATTACATTTACAATACATGCTAAGGACATCTAGGGACAGTGTATTTTTTTTACGCAAACTTTTTCTCCACTTTTCTTGAATCTAATGCTTATCCTCAAACATTTGTTCTTGGGAATTGAAAGGACTATCTAGTTTTATAGTCTAGACCAGACAATGGTATGGGATACACAGGAAATTCCTACTAATTAAGGTCTATATTTATTTTGTTCTATATATCAGTTATTATATAATCTAAATTACAATTTCCTGATACACTACCAAATTGCTTAATAAACTCTCATTCACTCCCTGTCTCCCATGCTGTTCATCAGTTTCATTATAATTTAAGCAATTCCATCTAAGTCACACAACTTTTTCCTGCAGCCCTGAGATTTGTACTTACCACAATGAGGGATGTCAGTGCTTCCTACAAATCTCAGGAAAAAGTTGTGTGACTTAGATCAATATTGTCCCAACTTTTATTTTTATACATTGACATGTTGCCCCGTTTGCAAACCTTGGATCCATTCTACAGTATCTAATTAGAATGCCCACCCTCTGCATGAATATAAAGGGTTAACATAACAACATGCAGGAGCAGGAATAGGCCATTCGGCCCTTCGAGCCTGCCCTGCCATTCAATCATGGCTGATCTTCCAATCTAACTCCAGCTAATAACATAACCCTGCCTTATCCCCATATCCCTTAATCCCATAATTTTTTCATAAATATTTGGTGAGGTTTCTGAATCTGAAGATGAAGATTACCCAGCTGGAATGTGTGAGGTGTGGATTCCAAGTGGGACAGGGAAGAGTTTCATGTAAAATGCCCTCCAAGATCTTTCTGACACTCACTGCTGCAGATCAACTATGAAGAACTGGACGCCAACTGATGCCATTATCACCATACACTAGCAAAATTAGGTATTCTTTTAGGAATGGAAGGAAAATAGCCATTACAAATTTCTACAGATTACCACATCAGTGATTCTTTAGAATTAGCTTAGCTGTATGTCAAAGCAAACAGAGTTGCAAATTCCACATCCTCCAAACATTGTTGCTTTTCCGGGAGTAATCATCCCTTCAAACCAAATAATAATAATAATTTGGTCACTCAGTCCACAACTGTGGGACACTGCTGTGCGCAATTGGCTGCCACATTTGTCCCACAAAATTCACAGTCACTACACTTTACAGTATATCCTGTGAAGCGCTTTGAGATGTCTCAACGATGTGATAAGGTGCTGTATCAAACGCAAGGATTACTAATATTATTGTACATTTTTTATATCACTCAATAGTCATAAAATAGAATTTGATCTGGATTCTGTCCGAAAAATATATTTTCAAGTAGCATATAATTTATATTTAAAATTGTAAGTGAATTACATTTTAAATGTTATATTTTAAATTGAAATGAGATTAATGAACAGCATGGAAAGGAAGGAATGAATGGGATTTTGGTTGTGTATCAGTGAACTGTAATTTAGGTTCTGTAATAACTGAGATACAAAACAAAAATGAAAAAAAGACTTCATTACTTGGAATTTCTCAGGCATTTAGAGTGCTGCATTTTAACCCCACAAAATGCTTCCTGCGATAGAAAAATCACAACCATGCTGATGCCGACATGATACAATGTTTAAACGATGAAACTGCCCTGACCACAGAACATGACTAGCAATCATGAGTGTGATTTGTCTGAATGGGTCCACAAGTTGGACATTATGCCACATGACGAGCTGTGTGGTCATAACAGCGTGTTATTCACATCATAAAATGGGTAGTTTAAATTAAGAGAACATTTTTAAGAAATAAAAACATTGTGTTAATGCAGTGATGAGGCAAGTAGAAGCCTTTACCTAACAAACTCAATGGCAGAAGCAAATGAATAAACTGTGGAAGGAGAAAAGAGAGTGGTAGCAAGATAAAGGACAAAGAGGCACAAGAAAAGGACAAAAACATCAAAAGATAGGGGGATGATAAAGAAAACTGGGACATGGGAACTAGAAAGAAAATTACAACTTCATGCAGGAACAAATACAGCACAATTTATACAATACAATAAACAAAGATAGAGAATCAATCATAGTAAACTAAGAAGAATTTATGAGAGAACTATGTCCCTGGTTACTGTCAGTGTGACTGTGTTAGTTACACAATTCAGAGGGTGGAAGTAGTTGAGTTTTCTTATTGTAGAGATCTAAATTATCTTAATCTGGTATAAACTTTTAAAAAATCCATAAAGTAATGCCCAAAACACCATTACACAAAACTGAAAACTAAAAATAATTATCTTTTAAACATGTCATGCACAACATTGTAAAATATTAGGCTAGGGACTGAAAGGTATAGGATCAAGCAGGTATTAAGTGAAGTTTTGTACACTGTGTGAAGGAGTTGTATGTATGTAAGGCAAATGCACATAGAAGAGATCAACAGGAACATTAGTTATAACCTGGGCCAATAGAAAATTGTGGAAATATTTGCCAAAAATTGAGGGGCGTTTCATGGATTTCGCAGGAAATTGCAGAGTGTTGGCTGGTGCTGTTGACAGACACATTTTCTGCTAACCTACATGTTCCACTTTATTGATAAAAAAAACTAAACATAATTATGTTTAAAATACTAAAAATGTTAATTTCAATAGTACAGCACTTATCAAGAATTCTTTGCAGGAGCTAAGTTTAGGCCAGGCAGCGAGCAAACAGACCACAGTAGTGTGTCGCATCTGGTATGTCTATTGTAGGTCACTCACTAGCGGGCACAGCTGAATTCCTGCTCGAGTAGCAAACAGCGCAAGAGGCCTAGCACACTGTGTGTACAGGTTTGTAGTGGATGGCTGTTTGAGTGGATTCCGCAGAAAAGTGTTATAACCTCAGCCAATAGAAAAGTGCGTCCCAGGTTATAACCCACTTTATCTCTGCGTGTGTGTGAGTGTCTCTATGTGATTGTGTGTGTCTCTCTCTATGTGTTTGTGAGTGTCTGTGTGTGTCTCTCTCCTTTATATGTGAGTTTATGAGTGCCTGTGTATTTGTGTGTCTCTTTCTCCTCTGTCTGTGTCTATGAGTGTGTATGTTTCTCCCTCTCTCTGAGAATGCGTCTTTCTGCGTCTCTGAGTGTGTGTGTCTCTCTCTGTGTTTCTGTGTCTTTGTGCAGTGCTGGGCCCTGCAAGTTTGTGAACTCCTGTAGCCCAGAGTGCCTGTTTTTTGGCAGATCTCCAAGCTCTTTGGGCCTGAGCTGGTGTTTCCCCCTCCCAAATGGGCTACCCACTTTTTGTTAAAGAAACTAATTTTAAAAATATAACAATCAAATATGTGTTATTTATCTCAAGTTTAGTTTTCATCAATAAAGTGAAAAAATGTAGGTTGGCACCAACCTCAATCGCACCAACCAACATTATTTCCACACTTTTCTATTGGCCCAGGTTATAACCCTAGGTTATTGTGGAGTCCTGTAGCCCAGTGGTTAGAGCACTCGCTTTGCAAGTGAGACACCTGAGTTCAATTCCAGGCAGGGCAAAATCTTGGGCAAGTTTCCTTACTCCACACACCCAATAATAATCCCTCCAAAAAATAAAACAATAATAAATTGGTCATTTTCAATCTACGAATGTTTGTGGGACACTGCTGTGCGCAATTGGCTGCCGAGTTCACCCACAAATATACACTCCATTCACTTTACAGTCTATTCTATGAAGCGCTTTGGGACGTCTAGAAGACGTGAAAAGCGCTATATCAAATGCAAGGACTATGATTAGTATTATTGTTGACCTAGGTTATATACTGTAAGACTAAGGCTTCAATTCTATCAGCATTGATGAGGTGAAAGTTTTCTCTGTATGACAGCTGTAAGGGTTTTACCACAAACAAGTATGGACAGTCCTAACCTAGTTTTCATTCCCAATAAAGAACACGTTTTTTTATAGAAAAAAATACCATACTTTTTAGATTTCTGTAAAAAGAAAAGTAAAAGCTCCAAATAAAGGAACTACATCAACAAGAATGTGGGCTTTACCTTCACTGTGTTTCTGAAGCAATTTCTGCCAAGATATCCTCGCCAATGCTTCTGAATGACGACTGCCGTTTTATGGAGAAATCTTTAAAGACAAAACTATAGTGTATTCAAATTAATCTAATATTTACTTTCTTTAAATGTACATCACTTTCCTCATACAACTATGTGTTCACCTCTCTCACCATCCCATTTTTCAGGCACTTGTCAGAATTTTGACCTGCCCTGGTCACAAATGATAATCCGTCTGACTGATTCACTGGAACTCATTCTCCTTTCTTGATCTTTCTGCTGATTTTGATAATGACTGATCACGCCATTCTCCTTCATGGTTCACTTTTGTGGTACCTGGCTTTCAAGGTTCTTTCCTGCTTGTCCTAATGACATCACAACATCTACTACTAACAGCATTGCTTCTTGTTACCCAAGAAGTCACCTCTGATACATTTCTTGGTCATCTCCTATCTTACATATACATACTGCAATGTATGTTGAAACCCAACGTTATCTCTCTCTCTTCAATTCAAGGACTGTTGCTATTCTGACCATCCACCCATCTGACACAGAGTTGCATGAATTTCTACAGGGAAACATCAACAAGATTGAAACTATTTTGTTTGTTTTCTCCATTGCCATTATGCCTCTGATTCTGATTCAAAGAATCACCCTGCCTGCTGACTCGGGCAAAATCAGATGTTGTGCTACTTGGCAATCTGCTTGACCCTGAGCTTTAATTTCAAATCCAACAACCAGACCATCATTAAGATTGACTTCTTCCACTTCTGGACCCTATCCTTACCTTGCCCTCACTGCAGCCAAATCCAATATCCATGCCCTCAACACCCCATTCATAGGTTTTCTCACTGCTTTCCTCACTAGTCTCCATAGTTCCATTCTTCAGAAGTGGTCAACTGATCAAAAACTCTGTAGACTGAGTTCTCTCTCAAGCAAATCTTTGCAAAAAACATTACCATCCTCAACAAGCTCTATTGGCTATCAGTACCTAAGAAGATCAAGCTTACAATCACTGTTATGGTGTTCAAATTCCTTCACAGTCCCACCTTACCTCTAAATATTTTTAAAGAGATTTAAACATGCATATTGTACCTGATGTGTGCCCGGATCTTGCACCCTCTGAACCAGCTCTGGATTGTCACAGCAGCACCATGTTCTCTTTCTCTATTTACTTCTGCAATACTGAAATATTATTATTTTGTTATGGATATATTAGAGTGAGCTCAATGGGCTTGCTTACTCCCTGTGTTCTTGTAACTAATTCAATAATTAGAAAGTGGAATTGCTTTTGTCACAAAGTACAAATAACTTTCCAAATATGCATTTATTAAGGGGTTTAATTTGCAAATTCAATAAAGGTATGGAGTCCGATAGCTCAGTGGTTAGAGCACTCGCTTTGCAAGCGAGAGACACAGGTTCGATTGCCGGCAGGGTGAAACCTTGGGCAAGTTTCCTTACTCCACACGCCCGATAATAATCCCTCAAAAAAAACCAATAATAAATTGGTTTTCAATCCATGACTGTTTGTGGGACAGTGCTGTGCACAATTGGCTGCTGCATTTCACCCACAAATATACAGTCAGTTCACTTTACCTTCTATTCTCTGAAGCGCTTTGAGACGTCTAGAAGACATGAAAAGTGCTATATCAAATGCAAGAATTATTATTATTAGAAAGTGCTAACTACCACTTCCAATCAATTTGCAATATTTGCTAAATCGGTAATTGCGATTTTCCAAAAAACATCAAAACCTGCAAAAAAATAAGCAAAACACCATCTCCCTGTGACCACCCATTACAATTAACCTTTCCCATCCCTTTGGCAAGTATTACAAATTAGACTTTACTGTCAAAATCGCTACACAGTAGAAACGGATATTTTTCACTCCCCCACTCCACCCAGATTTTTGTTTTAATTCCATAAAAACAATAACAGACCTACATCCAGCAATAATTTGTACCCTTTGTAATCCCGTTTATACGTGGTCTGGCCCATCTCGATTTTCCCAAAATATAAAAACATATTTTTAAGACTTGTTAATTATTACGTAGTAACAATGCTTACATAATTGCATTACATAATTAAAAAGTCTTGTAAGGGGCTAGAAATGATTACAAGGGTTTCACATTATCATAAACCATCATGTAACTTCCATCTGAATCCTGAGACGAGATTATTGGCTTGAAATTATCTTTTTACCATATATGCCTTGGAGTTGGATGGGTCAGTTTTATTTAATTTTTCTTGCTTGTTTGCCAGATGGCAAAGGGTGTCGTGACAAACACTGAGAGGCATAGGATGCCTAGGATGCTCCATGTAGCTAACATGCTCACTGAAGGATTATCTGTGGTGAAAGAAATCTGCATCCTTATTAAGTGTTAAGTCACAAGATGTATAATTTTTGATGATTTTACCACCAACTTGTACCAAAAATTGAATGTCCTCTGTATGTTGCAAACATAAGGATCATTATGACTAAGGCTGCAGGAATATGACATTATCTTTAGTTGCTGAAAAAATACTCTTTGGAGTACCTTTGGCGAGGTGTATGGCAACATGCTCCAAAAATAATTCCAATTAACCATAGAACTACAGTAAACTCCTGATAACCCGTCACTCCAAGTAAAAAAGACTCAATAACGAGTTATCTGGAGTGGCAAGTTAGGCCTAGGTATAAATACATAAATACATGTAGCTGGGATATTGACAGCATGATGACTTAAGTGATATTAACTAGTTTAGCCAAGGTCAAGTTATCAGGAGTATTACTGTATGAAACAATTATGGTCATTTGGTCCATCTTGTCTGTGTCAACTCCTTTAAGAGCAATCTTTTCAGTGTCATTTTTCTGCCCTTTCCCCAAAATCCTGTAGCTGACTTTTAAGGCATTTATCTGGTTCCCTTTTGAAAGCTAATGTAGATTATGCTTCAACCACTGCTCCCAGCAGGGTATTCCATATCCTACCTGTGAAAAATAACTCCTAACCTCCTCATTTGCTCATTTTCTAACTAAATTAAAAGAGGTTTTTTAAAAAAAAATACAAACTGTCTCGGCAATATCTTCACTCCTCTCGTAGAGGCAGAGATGCAGTTTTACCAGCATCTCATCCATTTCTCAGAAATGAATACAAGGCACTTAATGCCATCAAGGCTATGAAACCCAGGGGCATTACATCTGAGCCTAATCCTGTTCTCACCTGACATTCAAACATGAACACTTTCCATCAATAGTGATCAAGAATGGAAACCCAAAACAGATTTTTCTCCTCCCTAACCTAGTTATGCTGGCCCTAATGGTAACACTTAGCTGTTGCCCTTAAAATCAGGTAATTTGGTATCTTCTTAGTCCGTACCCCATCTGCTATTTGGAAATAATATTAAATCTATCGTAAGATACAGTGAACAAAAATGACTAACCTGAAATGTAACTTACATTCCTTCTATCAGCAGACCACATCTAAGTCAAAACTTCTTTAATCATCATTTCCATGGCAAACGGTGTTTGTAAAATACACATCAGATTTCACAACCAGCTCTAACATATTCTCTTTCTCTACAAATTCATAACAAGCTGGGTGAGTGCCAGTTCCCAATGAGGACTCTTCTACTTAGTCTCTATAAATCTTATTTTTGTTTCTTAAGTATGTTTATTTTTCTCTTTTCCTTCTCTTTTGTTTATTTTGGTCAATTTATTTGAGGGTCTGTTTGTTATACCTTTTGTGTTATTATCCTAAACCAATCACAGCCAAGAGTGTAACCTGATTTTAGTTGTTGAGGCCACTCTTCAGCCCGGTACAAGAACATGCACAATGACATCTGCCCAGTGATGATTCTCTCTGCCTGTGGAAAACCTCCTGGCTTCTTTCTCTCTGTGCCTTCCAACAGCAATGGAGTAAGATCTGAAATTCGTGGCAGCACAAATTGGTGTTCCAATGATCTACATCAGCAACTGAGAACATATTTGTAACACTGAAAAAAGATACAGAATTCTAGTGGGCCTGGGAAGGGGTGGAGGGTTATCTCCCCTATTGACATAGATTGGTCATATAATTAACATTTGTATGGTGCTTTATCATAGCAGATGTTCTCAAAGTGCATCACAAGTAATTATTTTCCAGTGACGATTTATGTAGACAAAGGCTGCCAGCGAGGTCCATAAAGAGCCATGAAGTGAATACTCAATTAATATAAAGGATTATCTACCAGAACACCATGAGCAATTCATTTCTCTTTCCGAATGGTGCCATGGGATCTTTAATATCCACCTGAAAACAAGCAGGTAGGACCTTACATTGATACTGCATTGAAAAGATGGCACCTCAAAAAATGCAACATGAGCCCAGATGATCCATTTCACCCAACCTGAAATGTTAATTCACTTTCCTCTCTCCATAGATGCTACCTGACAAGCTGAGTGTTCCCAGCGACTTCTGTTTTTATTTAGCATCTGCAGTATTTTGCCTTTTGCACACCTAGTCCTGCCTGTTGCTTGTCTCATTACCTGCTTTTATCCTTTGATATTGTTAATTTAATTGCAGCTTTTGTGGTAGAACGTAATTTACCCGCACAACACATAATCACTACACTTTCGGTATATTCTGTGAAGCGAAGCGCTTTGAGAAGTCTCAAAGACATGATAAGGCGCTTTATCAAATGCAAGGATTATTATTACTTTAAGTAATAAAAATAAGAGGAAGGTTTCACAAACAATTACAGAATTAACAATAACAAATGATTGTAGCAATATAGATCCCTGTTATACAATAATTTTTCAACAAATAATATTTGGACTTGGTTTAGAAAAATGAAGTATAGTGGCTTGTAAAAACACAAACTGTTACGGCATCACAAATTTCTATTCCAATGACATCATAAATGGGGACAGCGGCCTGAGGGCTTGGCTCAGTGTTCATGTTATTTTGAGTGGAGGTCTGCAGTCTTACCCCTTGGTTCCCTTGAACCAGCAGTTTTGAAGAATGATACAAAGAAACCCAGGTTACTTGAGAAACAGTGGTAAGGATGTAACTGTTTTCTCTTTATAACCTCTTGGATTAGAATACTTATACACGAAGCCACTGGGAAACAAAAATTTTCGCAATCGCCTTTGGTCACTGTTTGCGCTAAAGCCTTCTTTATTCTCACATGCTCTTATTATCCAAAACAACTTGTATGGAAATAGAACCAAAATTTCAAGGTCTTCTTTCATATAATCCATCTTTACTCATTGCCTACCTACACTGTGCAAAATGTATTTATTCCAAGTGTTATGGGGTAATATTTATAAACTTATCATTTATTTATTTTAAAACTGTTACCAGTCAGTCCCTAATGTATCTGCTCCTCTCCTCTAGATATTTACCACAAATTATAATAATAATCCTTGCATTTAATACAGCGCCTTATCACGTCATCGAGACCTCTCAAATCGCTTTACAGGCTATATTGTAAAGTGGAGTGACTGTGTGGGTGAAACAAATTACTTTAAATTTAAAAAAATTAAATGAAATTCTCCCGGTAATCCAGAATTGTTTCAAACTGAGTTTGCTGCTCAATGGAACTCAGGTGGTTGAAGGTACAGTAAACGGAAGAGGAAGTTTGAGACGTCTCAAAAACGTGATAAGGCACTATATCAAATGCAAGGATTATTATTATTTTGATTTTTTTAAAAAAAATCTTCCCCTCCCTCCCTCCCTACTTCCTCCCCTCTATCTCGACTCGGTTCTCTCAGCCCTATTACCGATATCTCAAGAAATATGAATCCTTGGTCCTCTCCAGCTCCGTCTGGTACCTCATCAGCGCCGCCATCTTGCTATGGGTTTGTGCCGCGTTGCCATGGTCACGGGAGGAGGAGGCGGGGCGGGCTCCTCGGCAGCCGCAGCTTACGTCGCCAGATTTGGGCGGATTCACGCCCAAATGGGCGGGTTTTGTGACACTTGCGCGGGCTTTGGGCGTGTACATCTTTTTTAATTTTTTTTGAAAAACATGAAACTTGTTAAATGTTTTATTCCCCCCCTTTAGAAGACCCTTTCTTCCACCTAAAATCGGTCACTTTGCTACCCATTATGCAGGCGACGCATAATCATCCTAAGTCATCCTAATTAATATTGGGCTACTTTTGGGGCTAGTATTCGGTGGACTATGGTGGTGCACAACAAAAGTGTATTTTATTTTTTAATGTCTGGCAAAACCCCCCGCCTGGCCTCAGGTAGGAATCAATGTCAAAGCAGAAAGAGGAATAGAGAGATGAAGAAGCGCGATCCCATCAGCTCCAGCGGTTGCAGTTGGTGTTTTTTTTATATATATTGTATTAAAACCAGACGGTGTTAATACTGCATTTTGCCAATGTAACTGTGTGTGTGAATCGCGAGTGAGTGCAGCTTCAGGGAGGGCCGTGTAACCAGTGTGTTGAGCCGGTTTCCGGTGTGCGCTGGGCTCTGTCCTCCCCCCCCGGCTGGAGCTGGAGCCTGGAGCTCATTCGCAAAGGCCCAATTTTTTTTGTGTGTAAGTTTCAATTATTCTTTGTGTGTGTGTCCCCTCTCTCTCTCATCCTCCATTTAAATTATTATTTTCCTCCTCTTCTCCCCGAAGGAGAAGGAGGCGGGGGGGGGGGGGATAAAGTAGAAGAAGAAAACAAACTCCCATCCCTTCCCCCAAAATATTTAGCATTAAAAGGCTGAGAAACCTTTAAAAAATCACAACTCTCCCCTCCTCCCCCCAAAAACCAAACGCCTTGTTTGATGTTCGACGCGGTCAACAAACAAACTCTGTGTAGTTTAGGCAACAGCTGGTGAGTAGGGCCGGAGCCAGGAAGGACTTTCTCTCTCACTCTCTCTATCTCGCATAACACATGGGGTGTAGAGGAGGCTGACCCCGGCCTCAGCCTCGTTTGTTTTCTCTCTGCCGACCTATCTATTTACCGACCTACCTAACTATAACTAACTAACAACCGCTATAGGGGATCCCTTCTCTATCTTTTCCCCTCTCTTTTCCCTTCATCACGTCCTGTTGCAAACTGCTATCTAAACCTCTCTGTCTGTCTCTTAAGAGATGGCGATGGCCTGTCCTGGCCCAAGCTGACCTGAGCACTCTCAGTCACCTCAGGTTAGTGCAGTTTTCCTAGTCACTGAAGCACCGTCTTAACTCGGAGAGAGGGAGAGGTGAGCCTTCGGGCCCTGTGATAATTATCTGCACAAAGTGGGGACGATCCTCCTCTTCCTTCCACCCGCCCCCGCTCGTTTCCCTCTTTCTAGACATTGGGGTCATTGCGGGGACGGACATGTCTCGAGTTAACTGGCTGTTAGTTTGTAAGCTACTCGGTCTATCTGGACTGCTTCGGAGGCACACAAACCTACACAGAAGTGACCGTTACTTGAAACTTGCTGTTTAGTCTGCTATTTAAATTGAATATTTGGAAAGCAAGCATTTTATTTTGTTTACCAATCGAGTGAAACATTGGTAGAAATTAGAACCACCTGTGTAAATAACTGCTCCATTTTCCTTAATGGTCAATGCATGAAATGTACATTTCGCCCACAAAATATACAGTTAATTCACTTTACAGTATATTCTGTGAAGCTCTTTGAGACATCTCGAAGACGTGATAAGGCACTATATCAAATGCAAGGATTATTATTTAGAGTAATAAAACAAGAAGACTTCACAAAGAATTACAGAGTTAACAATAACAAATGATTGTAGCAATATAGATCCCTGTTATACAATCATTTATCAACAAATAATATTTGGACTTGGTTTAGAAACAAGAAATATAGTGGTTTGTAAAAAAACATAGGGTTTTTCAATATCTTAGTCTTAACGATTATTTCTGTCGAGATAGTTAAGTAAATATACATGGAAACAAGTGGAACTTTTGACAATGAAGTTTGTTAAAAGTTAATAATTATTTTATATATTACATTTTGTATATCATTGTCAAATTATTGCTGGGGAAGACATATCGTTACAGAAAAAGTAGCTCAGGTGAGCAATTGAGAAGATGGGAAATAAAGGCCCAGATCCAGGTGTTTATGTGATATTGTAATCTGTGAGAGCAACGTTTCACCAGTTTACTATTAGCAAACACACCTTTATAAAACTAGGGTTGTAATTATTTTTATGAGTTGTTGAGAGTTTGAAGCAAAGTAGTTTTTGTTTTATTGTGGATGCTTGCTAATAGCCAATATATTCCATCCATTTGGTCTGTGACAGTTGCTTGTGATTTTTTTGTATTGAGAGCTATAATCTCAACCTGTGTTTGTTTGAGAGTCATTTCTAAGAATGCTGCAGCACCTTGCCCATGGATTGTGGATCTCTCCTCGCTATTGCCACCTACTTTTTGATTTCAATTATGATGCTGTGGCAGTTACCAAGTGTAGACCAGGCACTTCATTTATGGGAACAGTTCTACCTTAATTAAGTCCCTCCAATTGTTTTTTGAACGCTTGATAAATATGCAAGCTATGATGGCACCCACAATAAAACAATAACTTTTTNCTTCAAACTCTCAGTGTCTTATATAAAATATATAATTATGAACCTACAGTATTATTAAGATGTTTTTGCTAATAGTAAACTGTTCTATTTTGGTCAAGAGAAATGAGTATTGTAGAAGGGATTAGTATGAAACTTCAAATCTGACAGCATCTTGAATGGAGATCCAGGAAAATGAGCAACATTACATCTATAGGGTTACAAGTAAGTTGAGATGGGTCGCAAATAACTCTTTCCCCTTTCTCACTTCGGTCTCTCTCTTCCCCCCCCCCCCCCCCCCCCCCCCCACATACTTCTGGGACACACAGCTGCCGAGGCAGGATGATGTTCATACTGATCTGTTACTGATTGTGAAAAAATCATATAAGAGACCTGAGTGATAATCCACAATTACCAAGAAATCATTCCAGTAGCTATATTTCAGGAACAGGTCAACGTTGTTTTTTTTAATTATTATTCACTGGTTCATTTTAATTTTGATCAAAGAGCGACACATCCATGTAATGACATTCATTTGAGGGTTTTCTTTTGTAACCTTGTAGATTTTAGAAAACTCATGTAATATCTTCCATACTATGTTACAGTAAACTGATAACTCGTCACTCCAAGGGGAACGAGCTTAGTGGTGAGTTATCTGGAGTGCGAGTTAGTCATGTGTAAATACGTAAATAAATACAGCCCAGATATATTGACAGCATGATGTCTTAAGTGGTAATGACAACTTATTTATTAGAATGCATCTCTATTGAATTTATTCTCTTCAAATATTTTGCAGTTTATTTTCCTTGAACAAGTATTCCAAGGTCTCATTGAATACTGGGGTTGGGTAATGTCTTCTGTGTGGGTTATGAATGCAGTGGGTTTTAGGAATTAAATTAGAATTAAGTTAGTCTTTGTGGTTGTGGGAAATTAACAGACGAGGTTTCACAAAGTGGGAGTAGGAGATTGACTGGAATAAATTTGCAAAATAGTGGCCCACATCTCCGGGTGTTTGCCTGATTCAGGTGTAGCCTGTTATTTGAGGTTATTTGCACATGGGTATATGGGAGAGGGGGCATTGGTTTATGTTACACACGTGAAGGGGAAAATGCCTAATGGTTCAAAAGTGAGAACTTCTTGAATTTGTGGGAATTGAGGGTTCATTTATTATTTATATAATAAATTCTTACATTTGATACAGCGCTTTATCACATCTTTGAGACATCTCAAAGTGCTTCGCAGAATATACGGTAAAGTGAACTGACTGTATATTTTGTGGGCCAATTGCACACAGCAATGTCCTACAAACAATCGTGGATTGAGTGGCCAAATTATTTAGATTTTTTTTGAAGGAATTATTATCCCCGGAAAAGCGATCCGCCGATTGACTTATAACCAGGTTCCTACTTACTGCTAGGTAAATAGGCATATGGAGTAAGGAAACTGTCAAATGTTGCTCCCTGCCGGGAATCGAACCCAGGTCCTCTAATTGATGATATGAGTATGATTTGGGTTCAGGGGGCGTATAATGCAAGTGATACACTTTTAGATGTTGGAAGCCATACAGAGCTATCCAAAGAGCTTGAGCTAGAGTCATAACCAGATTATGTGCCCTTTTGGCAGCACTTCCATCAGTGCTTATTGGCCTGGATAGGAAATAACATTTTTCAAATACTTTTTTTGAGATAGAAGAAAGATGTGTTGTATTTTTAAGCGGCATCTCAGTGATTTTAACATACCAAATTCTTAGAAATTCAGCAAAATATAAAGTTATGGATTGTGTTGGTCCAGAGATGACCAGGTATTTTTCAGGCACTGGTGAGATTGGTCAGGAGGTTGGTCTACCACTGTTCGGCAAGTGAGTAAATTGTTTTCTCTGAACCAACAGATTTTGAGCACAATTAAATGGGTTTGTGTCTGGAATAAATATCTACTTGCTCAAGCAGCAAGTGCTACCAATGAAATGAAAAGTTGTTGATGTTGCATAAGTAAATAGAACTTTCACTTTTTGAGTCATGATGATCCACAGACTTGCAGATCTGGGTGGGTCTAAGTTTTTTTTTAAATTCCAGTGTGTAATGTGTGGATTCAACAGCCACATATCTCAGTCAACCATTTTGATTCAATTTTGAATGAAGCGTTGCAGTTGTCAGAAATCTATGCAGAACATTGTTCTTAACTAAACATAAAAAGCTTCCTGATAGTATCCTGAACTTAGCCGATCGTTGCTAGGGAGCGTTGGGTGCACTACACTAGGCTTGGGACGTCCTCCCGACGTGAAAGGTGCTATACAAACTTAATTTTCTTGTTACAAAGGGAAAAATCCTGAAATGTGCATGTATGTGGACAAGATCAGTTCTGATGTAACATAGTCACAATCGAATAACCAGCCAGCACTCATTGGCAGACCAACCTCCTGACCAATCTCACACTTCAATGTATTGCTGGAAGGGGAAACTGATGCTCTGAAACGGTATTCTGGTTGAAGGAAAAAGGGGAATTGAGTGCTTGAGCAGGGCAGAAAAATGGCAGAGAAACAAAGTTACCAATATGTTTCGTATTACACAAAAAATATAATCAACTACTCCAGAAGCACAAGATAATTTACCTTTATGACTGAAATTACTTTTTGGCATTACATATGTCGCAAGTAATGCTTTCAAGATTGGGGATGAAAAAATACTACAGCAGGCTGTTTTGTAGAAGGTTGATTTGTATTTCATGTGCAAAGGTACTAACTTAATAAGGCAAAAAGAGCTATTTGATGTTTCTTAATGTTTGAAGTGTAGTGACTTTTCCATAGAAAATTGATGGCTAGCAACTAATCTGTACCAGAGACATCCTATAGTTTGCTGAATTACTACATTTTAGTCTTTTTGTTGGGGAATGTGTCCTTGAGGAATATAAGCCAGGACACTAATTTACTGTAGTACTATTGGATCTTTGACTTGCACTTGAAATACTGAAATAGGCAGACACCTCTGTTTTAGCATTTCATCAGATTGATGGCAGTTCTAACAATGCTGCAGTCCGCAGTATAGAACGCGAGTAGCAGCCTGAATAATACTCTCAAGTAGTGGAATGGGACTTGAACTTGTAAACTTGTAACCTTCTAGAGCAAAAGGATATACAACAGTGGTGATCTTATTATTGTGTATATTGTATATGTGATACTTCCCATTTCCTATTGTATTTTCACATGTCTCGAACCACTAAATGTGTGGTTGAATTGTGAAGGTATTCTCCATTCCCATGAGTGGCAAAACAGTCAAAATACATTTTTATTAGTATTGTTTGTACTTGTACTAACAGCAGGCCTTTAATAAGTATCAAACAAAATGGGAATTGTCTATTGGTTTACAATTTTTTTAATAATAATAGTTCTTACATTTGGTATAGCGCCTTATCACGTCTTCGAGACGTCTCAAAGCTCTTCACAGAATATTAGGTAAAGTGAATTGACTGTATATTTGTGAGTGAAACACGGCAGCCAATTGCGCACAGCAATGTCCCACAAACAGTCATGGATTGAGTGACCAAATTATTATTATTTTTTTTGAAGGGATTATAATCCCTGGAAAAACGATCCACCAATTGAATAACAACCGGGTTCCTACTTGCAGCGAGAGAAACAGGCGTGTGGAGTAAGGAAACGTGCCCAATGTTTAGCCTTGCCAAGGAATCGATCCCAGGTTCTCTTGCTTGCGAGGCGAGTGCTCTGACTATTGAGCAACAGGACTCCACGTTAGTAGTTATGTCAGGGAACCTAAATTATTTGAGATTTTAAAAAAGTATACATACTGTAGTTTATTATTGTTAGAGATGGGTCTCAAAGTCATCAACGGTGTTTGAATGTTAATCAGTAATTTAGATTTAAGGATTCTACCTTTTTTTTTCCCTCTACCACACATGTGTGTGCCTATTGTAAAAGTTGATCGTGAATGTCAATGAAAGTATTGCATTATGAAAACATGTCTGAAACAAGTATCATTCAATTATATACTTGGGGTGGAGGGGAGAGAGGTATTTAAAATCAAGTTATAATAATAATCTTTGCAATTGTTATAGCGCCTTATCATGTCTTTAAGACGTTGCAAAGCGCTTCACAGAATATACTGTAAAGTGAATTGACTGTATTTTTTTGTGGGCGAAACGTGGAAGCAACAACAACAACAAAATTACATTTATAGAGCACCTTTCACATCGGGAGGACATCCCAAGGCAGCCAATGACACACAGCAGTGTCCCACAAATAGTCGTGGATTTAAGGAATTATTATCTCCAGAAAGGGAGGGAGGGTGAGGGGTTACTACAAAGTGACAAATGGCTGGAATATCCTTACTCCAGGAGGGGGGTGAAATCGGCCAGAGTTCATGCTCCTTATTGCTATCCAGTGACCCCTACTGGAAATTGTACGTGTGGTGAGTACGTGATCAGGTTCAGCTGTGATTCTCCTCACAGTTGAATAGATGTCTGCATCCAAGTTAATACGTGAAGAATGGTCGCTTGGATAAGGCAAAAGGCACTGCTAGCATTTTAGGTGCTGCAGAAAAAGAGTGTAACATTGAAAGGGGAGATGTAACTAAAAACAAAGGATAAATGTAGTAGTCTGTGGTTGAAATTGAAGCTTTCCACAAAATACTGCAACCCCTTTATTGTAATGCTTCCCCTGGGAGCCATATAAAACTGTTGCAGTGAAGTGTGCTTCATAGCAAGGGTTTTATTACTTTATTAATTGGGCAGCCAGAAACAAGCTGTTCTATCAGAGGCCATGGTGTGTATGAATGTATTTATAATGTGTTATTGTGTCCTACCTTAGGACTGCTTGAACAGGACAACCAAAGCTATTGAAAGTCCTGAGCCTTGAAAACGCACACATATACGGCCAGCGCGTGGGTTTGAATTCACTTGGATGTGATTTTAAAAAAAAGCTGCTTTTCCAAAGAACAGTAGGAAGGTTCCCCTGATGGTTCTGGCTGTTATCCTTCCTTATTCAAATTCACTTTTTTTAAAAAACTTGTTTCCTTTCATTGTTATCTGTAGGACATCAATGACACAAATTAGCTACAATGTTTGCTACATAATATTTGCTTTCTAATTATTTGCATTTTGTGAAACACTTTGAGACATTATTCTTCTACATAAACAACATTTTTTTTTGTTTTGAAGGCCCATCAGAATAATGGAAGAATTGGTTCATGACCTGGTCTCTGCTCTGGAGGAAACTTCCGAGCAGACCCGAGGATGTGCAGAGTTTGGGGATGAAACTCGGAGCTCAGCTGCGTGCCTTCTGAAACGTCAGGCCAGGAAAAGGAGAGGCAGAAAAAGGCGATCAGACACTGGCCATCACATCTTGGAGCATGGCCACTGCCTGAGTGAGGGCTCCGAATCCAGTCTGGATGAGGCAATCCGGGACTACAGGGAGAATAACAACAATTACAGCGACTCTGATGACCACCTGATTGTTGCCAAACGCCTCTCTTCTCTGAATGTGACAGCAGTCAGGGGGAAAAGACACTCATGGCATGAGTCGGATTCCATCACCGACAGTAACTTAGCTGGTAGATCTTTGCGAAGGAGGAGGAAGGTCAAGCGTATGGCTATAGATCCACCAGCAGAGGTCAGTGATGCACTTCACCCACTGACCCAGGGCAAAGCTCAAGCCATGGACCCAGAAAGGCACCAAGCATCACCAAACCAGCTCCATCTCCAAGTCCAGGAGATCAGTAAGGACAAGATCACCAAAAGAAAGCTTTCCTCTACCAGAGGGCTAGAAATTCAGGATGAAGGAGTGGTAGTGGAAAGTGAAGAAATGTGCAACACAAATAAGGACAAAATGGAGTACGAAGAACAGAAAGGCTCAGATGATAACATGAGTGACAGGTTATTAAGATTAAGTCCCAGGTTCTCTATCCTGAGATGAGTTGTTGTATTTAAATATAACTGCAGGGTTTGAAATACTTTCAGCAGAAGTGCCAGTACTTGCTCGCATTGAATTTCAAACCTGCACACCAGGGAGCACTCAAGTTGCAATAAAACTGTGCTCAGCCACAAATAATTTCTGACCAGTTACCAGCTCCTGTAAAATAATAGTTGTTTATCTTGACACAAAAATAATGATTTGGCTATTAATGGATATTTTTTCAGATATACACAATCCACTTGCAACAAATTGGTGCGTAGAAACATGCCGTACTTCTGTACATGGAGCTATAACTGCAAAGATAAGTATTTCAATCCCTGTGTAGTCATTGTTCTGCTATTAATGTGGAAGTATTGCAGCAGTAATTCCATAACTTGACGATTGGGAAAAAGTTCTTTGCAGCATTATAAAATAGCTAAAGTCAATTCTAAATGATCAAAGTGAAAAAAAATTATATTTCAGTAGCGGATCCGAAATTTAATTCACAACTTCAGCACAAATGTGTTTGCAATTGTGAAAGGAAAGCTGTAAAAGCTGTAACAATGTATTTGGTTGTATGTGAGGCATCTGTATTTCAAATGTCATGGCAAAGTTAAAGTCAATTATGAAGTGGCATCATCCTGTTTGATAGTTCTTGGGCCAAATTAATTACAAAGCATGCAGTAAATGCTGTGGTGGCATTTTAAAATCATAAATTGGGTGGCCGTTCAAAGGAATCAGTTTCATTGAATTTGCCTGGGATATCAGTTCTCCTGTTGACCATGAGGGTTAATGGTACCATTAGTATTAATGACCATATGGAAACAAAAGTTCAGAATAACTCTTTTTTAAGTCTTATCTGAAGGAAGAATATTTTTTGACGGTCTGGACGGGATAGAAATTATTATGAATAAACTGATATGATGATTTTGCATTTTCAACCTAACAGTTTTTTTTTATTGGCCTTTCTTTTATGGCCAACACATACTTATCCTTGGCCAACTACAGCCAGTATTGCCCTTTAACTAGCCACAGTGGTATGTTAGAATGGGTCAGGCATCTACCTTCTTGTTCCATTCCTGCTATCCTTGTGGGGAATTGCCCATGTCAGTCTTTTGTCTTGCCTGATAGCATGACCAATCTCATCACCTGAGCAATGCCTGACTTCTTTTGGCTGCTTCAGTAGAGTGTAATGTGTGGAAATTTAATTTACTTTGTTGAGATAAACAAAGTACCTTGAGTATGTATTGCATTTCACTGCACCTTGATTGGAGAAAGGCTGCACTTATTAGCTTATTGTGTCTGCTTCTGTGCTCTACATGCACATGAAGTAGGATTTACCCTTTAGCTAGAATTATTTGCTCCTTCATGTAGTGTATATGAAAAGATGGGTTTGGCATTTTGTAAAAGCATCAGTAAATTATTTTACTTTTGTGGTGGTCTAAAAATATAATTCTTCAAGACAAAAGATTCTGGAAGTATGGCAGGTTCAGGAAGTATAATGTTTTTTTATAATTAACACTATTTTGCAAAGTTTATGAATTCATGACTCCCATTTTTAAGACTTCTGAAAAGTTGCCTGCTGAATTTAAACCGAGGTAAACACCCGTTGAACTTAAACCATGAAGATGACGTTAATGAGCATTGCAGTGATAAAGCATAAGCTGTTATCAATAACATTGGCGGATTTTAAGCGTTGACAGAACCATATAGAGTTAACTTATTTAGAAATTGATTAGTTACCACTCAGCAAGTTGCAGTCAGTAATGCTTAGTGGTTATCATTCTTCATCAGAAGTTATCAGCTTCTGTACTTACCAGTTAAATATTCTGTGTGTGGTATGGCATAAGATGGCTGCAGGTTGCCTGGAATACAGATAACTGCTGACATTCTTGGACCAATTTACAGTGCTGGAACACCTGAGCTTGTGGTTAGAAATATGGGGGGAATAGTGACCCTTTGGCAGCAGGCCTCATCCATCCAGCCCAGGCAGCAGGCACACCACAATGGTAATTACCTCGGAAGTACTATTTTGACAACACAGATATGTGTAAGTAATCATTTTCCCTCCACACAGATGAGATGTCACCTGGAGAGCTGAGGAGTATGATCATGTTTACAGTTCAGCATGTGACCTAATTCTGTTTTGATTTAGAACACAACAGTCAGCAGGGTTTTTCATTAAGTTTCAGGCAAGCAGATAACATTTCAAAAGTAAAGGGAGAACTTACTGCCCTATGTTAAATGTGACAGTCAGAAGATACAGAAGCATACCAAATCCTCTACATACCACTTAACCCTTTCACATCTTGTACTTTGAGATAAACATACAGATTATTTCACATTGCCTTAACTTTTTTGTGAGCAATGATTGAAGTGCACATAAAACGATTCAAACAATTCATGCAAAAAAATGGCTGATTTCTGTGGTTCTGAACAATCAGAACTCAAAATTGTGTTTTAAAATACTCTGGGTGATTTTTACACGCTAAGAAAACTTGTCTTCAGCGCTTTTCTTTAATTTTACCAAAATGGTATGTCAAAGGAATGTACTTTGCTATGATCCACTTTAAATACACCACAAATCAATTGCCTCCATGAATGTTTTAAGTCCTTTTATTGGGCTATTATTCTATTCTAATTCATAAACATAGTTGCAATTTTGATCACAAAAGCAAATGTTTAGAAGCGCTGAAGTTCATAATTACATAGAATACTTTAAAAAGTTTCAGTGCAGCAGAGGCCCATTTGGACAACTGTGCTCATGCCATCTATCCTAGTCCCATGCGCCTGTTTTTCTCTCAGCCTTTTATCTTTTGCATTTAGTTTTCTTAAATGTCCTAATTCAACCTCAAAAGCCACTTGCAGGAACAGTTATTACATCCTAACAGCCTTATGTAAAACAAATCATCCAAGCCCGCTCTTTGCAATACTGTATCTTGAGTTTGTGTCTCTTTTTTCGCCAACAGTGGAAATAATATTTTATGATTTACCATGTCAACCTCTTTCACGGTTTTTACACTGTTGTTGGATTCCCTGAATCTAACGACTCCAGCGGATACTACCGTTTTTTTAAGCTTTTCATCATGGCTATATCCTCTCCTTGCTGGTGTCCTGTTGAATTAGTGCTGCTCCCTCTGACTGGTTCTTGCGTCTGTTCTATAATGGACTTTTGTAAGTGCACACAATGCTCCAGCTGTTGCATATTTTTATGCAATCAAAACTAGTTCAATTCAATGTAAATATAGAATACATTCTAGCTCTGTTTGCTAACTAATTTGCAGTTGCCTGTACTATATATCTAACTCTCTGTATCAGGAGCAAGCAAGCACTGATACATCTACAGTCTCTACAAGTGTTGTTTTGTGGGCAGTTGGTAGGGGGTGCTACACTTTGTGACCCAGCTGAGACAGCAGCTTATTGTACAGCAAAAGTATAAATACCAGTTGTAACTGAGATTCAGGCGTACAATGTGTGTGTTTTATTTTGCACAATGCAATTTAAAAAAAAAAACAGCATCTTTATATGGAGTTTCATTATATCTGCTGATGATTAAATGTCTCTTATAAAGTAAAATGTTAAGCAATATTCTATGTTGCGTTGATGATTGAAATATTTTAACTAAACTGGGTGATGCCTCTCATTGTGGAAAAAAAATTGCTTCTTTAGGGAAGGGCCTATTAGAATTATAAAACAATTAAGTAGACAGAACTACCTGTATTTTGACTGTGTGTGTTTTATATATATATATATATTCAGATTTATTATAAATTGTCAGGTAATGGGTGTACCAGGTTTTTTTACCTCTCAGAGTGGGTTAGTTACCGTGTACATTCGTAGACCCTGATTCAAAATGTGGTGTATATTAGGTCTATACAATGTTCCACAAAATTTGGATTCTTAAACCAAAATGCATTAAGTCAGAAAAGTTAATTTTACTCCCTGCATAATGAAAGTGTATTCCTGTACCATTTGCAAATGGTGTTGCCAAAAGTAATAACATCTTGAAGCGGTTTTATTTCATGTCATGAAGAAAGGCTTTGTATGCTTTTGATTGAGAATTTTCATTTTATTTTCCCTGATTGAGCAGCAGTGTTCCTGGATCAAGCCAAATAGCATGGCATAAGAAAGAGGAGGGAAACATTTGATGGAGGCAAATAATGAAATGCATCAATTGTGTCAGCACCTTTGCTGTGGCCACATCTGGCTTACTGTCAATGCCCCCATTAGATTCCCAGGGTTATATGTGGCAAAAATAATACGCTCTGTAGTTAATGGAATTATGATATTTGCAGTTTGATTGAAAAAAATCATCTTATTTTGCTCAGATCTTTGTCAGGCTTAACTTCCATCTGACTGCTGGCTTGTCTCTTTAAAATTTTACGATTCGGAGATCAATTGTTCTTTTGATGTATTCTTTTTCTTATTACAGTGAATCCAGCAGCCTCAGCAGTAGTGATGCTGGCTTGTTTACCAATGATGAAGGGAGGCAAGGTATTGGTACTTTTATTATTTTCCTCCTTAATATAAAGCTGAATGAATATTAAGATGCTGGGTTTCATAATCATATCTATAATCTGCTAATACTTTGTGTAGATTGTTGTTTTAATCATCCAGTTATGATAATATAATAATGGTGTATCCTGTGATGAGTTTTCATGTATTTATGAAGAGGAGGTGATAGATTTCAAGCAGGCTGCCTTGAAATGTATTTCCATTTATATTTTGCTTTTAATTCAAAAGAAAGTTTGTAAATGTTTCAGAGATTCTTTGTGCCTGTGCAGTACTGCACAGATTGACGAGCAACAGCTCGGAGCAGTGAAAACGTAATGTGATTCTACAAAGGTGCTAACCCAACATTCATTCTGGAATCTGGATCTAAGGGGCAATAGTTTTACAGAGCTGTAAGATTATTTCATTACATTTGCCTCTACAGAGTCATTTATCTTTAATACCATTTTCAATAGAATACATGAATGGTGATGTTAAATGCTGTACAGGTTTTGTTAGTTTCTGATGCACAAGCTAGATAAATTAGAGAATTGAGGTTTCAAAATATCATTGAAACAATTATAAAGTCAGTTGTATTAGTCATTTACCTTGTTTAACCTAATATTTTTAGTTGTATAAATGGGTTAATATTTTTGTTAGCTACTTATTACTTGCAATTTTAACAAATTTATGAACCAGTCCTTAAAAACAATGTGAATGGTGTAACTCCAACCCAGTTTCATGTTTTCCTTGAGTTAATTTCCATTCTTTGCGGCTCATCTCCTCCTGAGTACATAATGTTTTATGGTAGTGGCAGTTTATTCCCCCCATGAATTCCCCCCATATTTTCGTTCGTATTTAACATTTCGGGAAAAAAAGACAATCCATTGGTCCTATCTTTCTGTGAAACTCTTGTGTCTGTCAAATACTCAGCTGACCAAAATAAATGTATTCATCTTTTGTATCTTTTGAGGAAAATGTATCTTTTAATGTGGCAATGCATAGCCTGCATTATGGTGGAGGCTGCAGTTTTTCTGCTTTGCAGATATATTAACTGATGTGCAACCAGCAATAAGCAAATAATGCAGTATATGAAAATAATATTTTTAAGTAAGTTAAAATGATTTGTTTTTGCATGTTAACAAATGTTGCAAACTAGTATTCCAAAAGTATGTGGTACATAACTTATTAGCTGTAAGTAAGTTCTGGAATTTAGCTTTGGAAACGTAAAATGGTTGTTATATAAGCTATTTCTAGTTGGTAAGTAATGTTCCAATTTAAATCTTGAAAACCATATAAAGGATAATAGATACTTCTTGGAAAAGTAGAAGGCAGTAATCCAATTGAAAGGTTCGAATGACCTAATTAACGATGAGCAACATTTTCTGTTCATCATCCAAACCTGAGGTTTAATTACTTCATTAAATTCACCTCAGAGTATCTTAACCATGGTATGTACAAGATAGTGAATCATCTTTACGGGCACTCTCTCACCTTTACAGTGCTGCATTTCTGTTGATAGTCATTTAAACAGTAGTTTGTTTTTTGGGAGGTAGCATCTTCATCTCTTTTGACTTTATAGCACACAGTAGATATATACTATATTGAGTTTTCTAATGTTCGTCTCGTAGTGTAGAACAGAAGTGCCATCTCTCCATTATCTGTGGTGTTCGTGTCAGGTGTTTTCAAGTGCCCATCCCAATTGCCTATATGCCACTGTGTTATATTTGGTATGCTGCTTTGGCTATCAAAAGGAGAGAATTCAGGACAACTACTAGGAGACAAAGCTAACAGTCATGCCTATAATGCAGAACAACAACAACAACAACAACAAGATTCCATTTATAGAGCGCCTTTCACGTCAGGAGGACGTCCCAAGGCGCTGCACAGTTGGGTCATGACCCGAGCAGGGGGGAAATGGTCAGGGTGAGGGGAGGGAAGGGAGGGAGAGAGGAGGGGGGAAATGGTCAGGGTGAGGGGAGGGAAGGGAGGGAGGGAGGAGGAGGAAGAACTAGTCTGTTCTGACTTTAGGGAAAAAAATTGTCTTAAACTCCAAAAGAGAGCCAGAGAATAGCTGATGTTTAATGTGGTGATGTCATGTGGACGCAGGAGGAAATGCTCTTCTGGTATTTAAGCAAAGCAGAGTCAGCTTTGCTAATGCATCTTAACTGTACATGGTTGGGGAGTGCTTGTTGGTGACACTGGATGCCCAAAATTGCTAGCCAGCACTAACATCCATCTTCTTGAAAGCAATAAATTCACTTTAAAATTGTAATCAATATTTTGGCAAATGAATGAAATGCCAGGGTTCAAATCAACCTTCTGCTACTCCTGGGGTACATTCACCACTGCCCCTTAGCAGGAGACTTAATTTGAATGAGACTTCATTTCGAATGTAAAAATAGACATTGTTGCCTTAGTTATTATTCAGGCAAATAAGACAGGCATTCAGGCACATCAAATGAGCCATGTAGTTAGAAAAATTAACATTGAATCCTGGAGCAGGGGTAGACAACCTGAAGAATGGGAAAATTAAGATACCTATTGGCCTCTTGAGTTCAGCCCCCTGGTAGGTTACCACATTACAGTACTCAGAAAACAGTGCACAATGTTGACAGGTTAACAGTAAATTACAGGAAAACTCTACTGTGTTTTTATATACATATAAAATTATATATAATGTATTTTTGTACCATTATTATTTGGCCATTTTATATTCCCTCCGCCAGCTTCTTTTGGGTCACACAAAGTTTCACACCTCCTGATGCCCTTTAGGTTCCTGTGAGATTAATAATTTGAAAGTGTAAATGCTTAGATGAACAAAAATGGGTTGTAAAATGCATTACTGACCTGTTAATGGCATATTCAGCATAGAGTTAGTAAAGGCTTGGAGAATAAATTTTAGTTTCTGTAGAGTTTCTAGGTAATTAATTGACTATGCCATAAGGAAGACTGCTGGGGAGATGTGGGTTTTCCCCTCCTTCTCTTCTTTTTAATCTCTGGCTATGTTAAATCAAAGGTTGTTATTGATGAAGGTGTGTCAGGATTGTTCTAGGAGTCCTGTAATTTAGTTATGAGAGCACTTGCCTTGCAAGTGAGAGGACCTGGATTTGATTCCCGGGCAAGGCAAAACAGTGGGCAAGTTTCTTTACACCACACGTCTCTGTTTACCTAGCAGGTTGTTAGTCGATTGGTGGATCTCTTTTCCGGGGGTAATCATTCCTTAAAAAAAAAAATTTGGACTCCCAATCCAAGACTGTTTGTGGTTCACTGCTGTGTGCAATTGGCTGCCGTGTTTCACCCACAAAATATACAGTCAATTTGAGAAGTCTAGAAGATGTGATAAGGCGCTGTATCAAATGGAAGGATTATTGTTATTTATTATTATTATAGGTGTACATCTGCTTTGCACTTAATGCCGGAAAAAAATATTCATCATTGGAACAAAGATAAGGATTTGTATTTGAAGAATAAAAAAAGCTCAAAATATATTTTTCAAAGTCCTCAAAACTTGACTTTTTGCATCATTGTATATGTCCTCATGTTCTAAACATAGTCACATTTTGAGTATTTTGAGTATTTATAAGTTATGAATGAAAATTATGCTCATTATACATTTGAGAGAGAGAAATGTTTGGTGCACAAGGCTTGGAATTTTGAGGAGGTGTGGGGAGAGGGCAGGAGTGATATTTTCTTGGTATATGTAAAATAAGAGCAACAGAAAGTATGTCGTCGTGAGAGTTTGTTTCATAGCGAGTATATTAACTGGTTTTGCCATTAACAACAAAAAGTGGTCCATCTAAGTTTCCTGTATGTAAGTGTAAAAGAGAAATTGGGGTGCACATACGTGACAATCATCTTAGCACTGCGTTAATTTGAACTGGTATAGTTAAAGTATCATTGATTGCCTTCTGTAGTCTCAATTTTTTTAAAAAAAATCAGTATCCCTGTTGACATAATGTGTTTGTATTTTACCACATTGTTGAGTGCAATGGGCTTTCTTCCCTTTTAACCCAAGAGAAAATGTGTCAAAAATCTTCTAGAGTAATTCAAAGTCTTGCTATTAGGACTACTTGTAAAAATCAAACAGTTGCATTTATCGGTATTGTTCACATTCATTTGTTTTGCATTTGATGTTTTTGATCTTGAAGCAGTGACTGATGATGGCTATTGAAACTTTGTTCGTAGCATTAAAGTCAGCAGTGGGAGGGAATTACTTTAATACCCAGATCACAATTCATTCAATAATTAATGATGTTGATTGAAATCTTTCACACTGCCTGATTCAGTGAATCTTTAGCCTTACCCAACTATAACCCCAAAGTCACTGTTGTTTAACAAATCACTAGAAAGTTGATCAAATTTTAATTAATTTGAAAGATAGTCCAAAAAATCTTGTACTTGCATCTCAAAATTGAGATTAAATACTATTTATTTAAATACTATAAATATATATTTCTCCAGCGCCTTTGGGTGTCCTCCCGACATGAAAGGCGCAATACAAATTTCATTTTGTATTGTATTTTGTATATACATATTTGCACTTGTTTTCTGGTTGAGTATTTAATGAATGACTACAGTTATACTAAGTATTTTTCCCTTAATTATGTTTGGTTCTTTTAAAAATGACTGTTTTTATCTAGGTGATGATGAACAAAGTGACTGGTTCTATGAAGGGGAGACTGGTGGGGCCTGTGGTATCGCAGGAGTCATCCCCTGGTGGGAGCAGGAGGATGCCCTGGCACTGGAGAGGGAACTGCCTGATCCAGTCTTTGAGAGCATCTTAACTGGCAGCTTCCCTCTCATGTCACAAGCAGCCCAGAGAGGTCAGTGCCATCCTTACTCCCAGTTGAAGGTGTTATGCTATTAAATGATTTTACTTGTTTACTTGACTGGAAAGTCACCAGTGGCCCACACCTGAACTGTGAAGTGTTAGTCTATCAATTTTAGGATATTGGAAGTGTGTTAACTCGGGATTTTTTTCCTTTTCATGCTTTTGTCAAGTGTGTAATTCCTTTAGGAAGGAAATGGATTGAGTAGATTTACTGGAATCAATAGAAGCAAGCAAGATAAAAACATTTTAATATACAAAGAGGGAAAGAGGATCCATTTTATATGACTTGTCTTTTGAAAACATGAATTGATGCCCAGAATGTCAACTAATAGTTTTTTAAACACTAATTCCTGAATAATTTGTTTAAAATACAACATTTAATATAACTAATAGGGTTTACAGATCAATATAGGAGCAAGTTGTCAAAACACATGGTTTTTATTTAGGTTATATGCTTTTATATTGTTGAAACATTTTTGTATCTAATACAACAAACTACATTTGTACACAACAATAAATTACATTTGTATAGCGCCTTTCATGTCGGGAGGATGTTCTAAGGCACTGGATTCAAACAAATATGGTTTGTTTGAATCAATTCTTATTAACAATACTTGCATGTAATGACTCATGTCAGTGTCTCAAAACACTTTACCAATTAGTTGCTTTGGCTGTTTTTGTAGACAAATAATAATAATAAACCTTGCATTTGACTATAATAATAATAATATAATAATAATAATCCTTGCATTTGATATAGCGCTTTTCACGTCAGGAGGACGTCCCAAAGCGCTTCACAGAACACACTGTAAAGTGAATTGACTGTATATTTGTGGGCGAACGCGGCAGCCAATTGCGCACAGCAATGTCCCACAAACAGTCGTAGATTGAAAATGACCAATTTAATTATTGTTAATTATTGACTATAGTACCTTATCAAGTTTGGAGACGTCTCAAAGTGCTTCACCGGATATACTGTAAAGTGAATTGACTGTATATTTTGTGGGCAAATATATAAATATGGCAACTAGTCTCTGAATAATATCCTACAAAGCACAGTGAGATTCATTTCATTTTTATACATTTGGATGTGGTAAGAATACTGACCAAGATATCATAAGTCCCTGTTCTTCAAATAGTGTTGTTATATCTTTAGCATCCACTTGAACCTCCAGAATAGGCAGACAAGACCTCAGTTTAACATAATCAACCAAGGATGGCATATCTTAACAATGCTGCACTGCCTCAGTGTTGCACTAGAGCTGTTGGCCTAGATTTTGAGCTTTCAAGTCCTGGTGTGGGGTTCAGGTATACAACCTTTGATGCAGAGGTGAGAGTGATACCAACTGATTCAAATTGACTGCTTAGCCGTTAACTCTTTTGCAGGTACAGTACCTCATGCGAGCATGCAGCAATTTTCAATGTAAATGGGCTACCATAAATAAAGTGTACTGGATCTAGAATTGCATATACTTTTGAGGAAAATTTTCAAAAGTGATCTTCAGCGAGTGGTTAAAATATTAAATTTAAAAATGAAACTGTGTGAAATTTGTTGTGAAGCATTTATTCCTGTATGAAATTCCCATATATTTTTAAATTGTGTTATGTGACAAACTTGTAGAAATATGTGAATGGAACCTTTTCCAATTTTTCCCTTTTTTGAAAAAAAAGTTTCTAAAATGTGGCTGCAGTTTTCAAAGGGTTAATGTTTTTTCTCTCCTCACCCCTACTGCATAAAGAGATTAGTATTGTCCATAAAAATTAACAATTATGCTTGCCAATTACTTTTTGCCTGACTGTGGTGGTATTATTTTAAAGGGTTGAGGTCAGAGTGCACCCCTTACCCCTTTTAACTGAAATAGCTGTCAAATAGGTCATATCAAAACCTCTTAAACTATTGCTTGACTGATAGGTTTTCAAGCAAGACTTTCCCGATTGCCTGGAATGTCAAATAGAATTGGCAGAAAGGGGCCCCGGAAGCTTTCCACAAAGGTAAGCACATTTATACTCTTTCCCTTTGTTCTGTTTAAACTGTTATAGATAGTTTAGATTTGTACCTTGCTGAAGTTAGATGTTGAAGGTGTTGCAAAGACCTTGGCCTGTGACCTCTGCCCTTTCTGGTCATGATTCAGGTGGCCATCTATCCCTTGATCCCTATCCCACCTACTTTCTGTCTCGCTTCATTGCCAGCCTGAGCATGGCTGGGATTTGTAGCCTATTTTCCAGTCTTATTGCAATCTCACTGTGGTGTTTTATAGGAGCCATTACAACTGATGGATTAGTTTTCATGGTATTTATGACATATGACGTACTCATGGTGTTACCAGCAAAGGGCATGGAAAAAGAAGATTCCTCCAAAAACCTGAAAAGCATTTGAGTTTTAAATGACAAAAAAAAGTTTTTTAAAAAAGTGTCTGCAAATCTACTATGATGGTCTCTGTTTCAGTCCCCAGTTATCCTTAAAATGTTCCAGATTTTTTTTTTAAAAAGTGTAAAATGTTGGTAAGAGACGATAGCTATCTAGCTCAATATGATATAATTGCACACTGTCAAATGTCGACATTTTTAAATGATTCATTTAAAATTCATAGCTTTAGGTGCCAGCGTTTGGGAATTTTGTAGGGTTAATAGATGCACTTGGGTTTCCTGATCACTCTTTTAACCAGATGTAGTTTGTTCTGTTTTTTTGTTTACTCTTACAAACATAAATGATCAATTTATCAATCAGTTAATTTGTTTTGCTTTTCATATTTTTAAAACATTTTACTGATTATTGAGATATAAAAATAGTCTATTTTATGTTTATCCTTTTGGTATTTTTTGCATACACAAATGATGGTTTCAATGGTAAATGTGTTTGGTTGCTTATACAAATATGAAATATATCAAAGCCATGAACGTGTTCATTTTTTTAATCAAAGAATCATAAAACAAAAGCGCAGTTATACATTTTAGGTGTAATTTTATCTTTTCAAAACTTTCATATTTATTCCTCCCTTATTTATTTTATTTTGAATGCTCTAATTCTGAACCATGTTTAATCGCTGTTTTTTTTTGCGGCTAAAATGTAGATTTTTAAAAAAAAATAGATGGAAAAAAACCTAAATATTCTACGCTTGCTTTATTTTGGTTGCAGAAATGTCACTTTAAGCCTCATAGAATTAAAACAAAATCATCCAACTGTAGCAGTAAATGGATTTGAGATTATAGGTATGAATAGAGTATCCAGCACCAAAGTCTTGTCACAGAATTAAATGTCAAAAATCGTCTTCAGTTTTAGATATATAGTTCACAGCCACTGGGTATGATTAATACATATAATCTAAATCATTGAAAGTTCCTCTGTTCTTTTCGTAAAATACAATGGAGCACAAATCATTTAAACCATGGGAGGATAACAATTGGAAAATAATGCATCTTCCCTACCAATGAATTGTCAGTTATATCTAATTTAACCAAAATCAATTCATCTTTCTTGCATTAGATGAAACTACTTGCAATAAATCTTCACCTAATGTTTGATCTGTTTTTTGATGCATCCACAACAGTCTTTATTTTCTAGCTTGTAATCTTACATTTAAAATCTATGCAAATACATACCAGTCTTGATTTCTTTTTCTCCCTTGTCAGAATTCAACTGTCCCTAAGTTGGTTGTTATTTTGTATTCCATATCCCTCCTCCTTTATAATGCTTTATAATTTCTTTTCTATTTTTGGCTTAAATGTATAGATTTCCTTTTAGTCTTTATTTAAAACTAGTATCATTTTCAGGAATTCTTCGGTTTTTCTTTTCTCCTTCATTTTTCTCCCTGTGCACAGAGCTTCCTACCACTCTGGAGCCTCCTAACGACAGGAAACTAACTAATGGGCTCTTGAATTGAAAGACTGCTTCTGATGTTCCTTCATCGGCCAATAAGAGGCTAGTGTAGAGCGATTTCCAATGATAGTACCAATTATTGGTTACCAGCTGATTGGCGAAACTTACTTACAAAGTTATGGCAGTAAAGAGAAACCCTGTAGGATGCTAACCATTTGGTTGGGAGTATAGCTCCTGGGCTATACCACTTCAATTTAATTGTGTTTTGTGCTTAGGACTTTTGTTTTTTTCAATTATGTTTCCTTTCTCTATTTTTNCATTTTTTAAATTCTATTTTGTTTGTTTTCTGGCCCAGTTTTATTTTTCTGATAACTCTCATTCTGTCTTGACTTTCCCTATTTCTTCAGTTGTTCCCATGCAGTCTCTGATCTCCATGAAATCAAAATTTGAAAAGTTCTTTGTGCAAGGCTAAGGCTCTGCCAAGCTCTTGCCACCTGCTGATTTGAATATCCAGGCTTACAGAAATATTGTATGATAACACACATAAAACATGTTTTCTTGTCCTTTAAAATTGTGTTTGAAGCTAAATCATTTCTTGGAGAAAATAGTTACACAATGTTGTTCTGAACTGAGAGAGATCAGCATTCAGATTGGAATGACCAGCATATCTAGGTCAGCCGTGGGATCTAGTTTTTTTTAACAAGAGGAGGGAAACAGCTTTTGGGAAAAATAACATTGCATTCTTAGCTGTCGATGTGCGAGGGAGCAACTAGGTTTTCCTCTTGAACTGGTATGATAATGCCAAGTTTCTTAATGGAAGGATACAAGTCTGTTAACATTTGGAATAGATACTGTAGTGAGTTCCCTGAATGCTGAAGGGTCTCAACACAACATAATCCTCTAACAAGGTGGTAAAATGTTTCTTGCTGTGAATGAAGTTATGTTATGCAGTAGCTTTCTTAAGTCAAGATTCACATTTTTCAGAACTTCAAGTATTCTGCAGAATCCACTTTGAAATTGGCAGAGGACATTTACAATTTCAAAATGGTTATGAGTTGCAAATTTCTGCATTAACAACTAACAGCTCATAATTATGATTTAGAAGTTAGACAACTATGCACCAGCAGTCTGATTTGCTGCCACTCTGTTCAAATTCTAGATTGCTTTGGGGAAACTGCTTCTTGCTCCCTTGAGCTTTGTTTTTTTAAATATAATTTTATTAAGTAAAAATACTTCTTAACGTCAATTAATGTATCCCTGCTGGTTGCAATCAACATTCTCATAGATGGTTGTGAAAGATAGATCTGTTAACAGACTGGATAAATTTGTCTCCACAATGGTAGGCAAACGTTCTAAGAATATAATCTTCAACGATAGTCTCTTTTTTAAAAAAAACTACATGAGATAATATGCATTTTCTGCTTTGGCATTGATCTGACCATTCTTGATTATAGATAAATATGGACAACAACTCCTCAGTTTTAAAATTAGGGTCTAGAAAACGAAAGTATGGAACACCTATATCGCTCTGTCGTACCAATATCAGCGGCTTATTTACTGCAATTAAAATGTGCAAATAAACCACTACAACATCATTGTGGAATAGATTTGGTTATATACCATCCCTGTTTCCTTTGTGTTCATGAAATGCAGGTCTAATAATTAACTTTCTGTCATAACTCCCAATCAACCCAGCACAGTAAGTATCAAAATCACAGCCGCTTCAATTCAGACAAGTGAAGTGTAATTATGTTTAACTCAATTTATATCCATTCAGCAAGATGTGAAAATGTGTGATTTTATTGTGAAAGATTGAATAGACAGGACTGCTAAATTTATCCTACCCTGAGGGATCCCCTGACATCATGAATTTGTTGTTGTTCTGTAAACAAGCATATGATGGTGCTTTTTGTGTTGAGTAGACACATCGCCCTGAAATGAAGTTGTAGAAAAGAGTTATAGCAGTTTGTTTTTCAGCATGCAGTAAACGGAGAAGTGATATATTACCTATAAGTAAATTATTGAGTCAATAGCTACTGTGATCTCAAAATGATTTATTTTAGGTGTTAAAAAATCATTTGTTTGGATTGATTAGCATTCATTAATTATGCTAATTATATTGTGAGAAAACAGATGTTTTATAGAGCTAAGACCAGGCATAAATTATAAGTCCTGCTTGTTAGTTTAAAAACATCCTCACTGCCCTATATCGCAATGTATTACTGATTGAAATATTTGAAAAATGTGGATAGGTTCCGTTCTGAGTGTCTTATAATTATTTCAAATGCAGCAATTACATTAAAATCGCAAATATGAAAAATTCCTGCTGGACTAATCACTTGGCTGCATTGTTGGGAAGGCAGTTTGATAAATTGAAAACACTTTTTGTTTCACCTCTTAATTCACTGTTCTGCTGCTGTGTTACAGAAGGAATACATTCAATGATGTTAATTTGTTTGGCATTTACATCCTGGATTTCCATTACTTACATTTTGTGTGACTAACCTGAAGTAAAATTTACTACGCAGTAAATACATCTACGTGTGTATGAGCATTGCTTTATCAACATGCTGAAAAGGGGAAATTAAATCTAAAACTATCTCAAATTCTGAAACCAACAATGTTACAAATCATATCGGAATGAATTACAATCTTTGTAATCCCACTTCAAAAGATCTATTTTGTGAGATTCAGGTTATTTTTGAATATTGCCGTGGGAATTTTTTTATTAGATTCTTTTAATTTGAAGGAATAGTATTAATAAATTAATTGTTTAAAAACCTTAAAAGAACATGGAGAAAGACTTGGAAAGTGGGAATCATTTAACAAAAAGTGCTACTTAGAAAAAAACAAGTAGCAATGGTATAGATATGAAAGGCCAAATGCCCTCTCCTCTGCAGAATTTTTCTACATTAGAATTCATAGCATTAATTGTTTTTTGAAGTCATGAGGTGGTGTATAAAATGCTTGCAGGATTGCATTGGCTTTGCAGATATGGTTGGAACATTGCGTGACTAATGTCGGGACAGTTTGTATAGTTTCCCCCTTGGAATCAGTTTGCTTAAAGGGTATGGAGGAATATCTGAACAGGATCTATTGGTCAGGGTGGGTTTCAGTTCAATGAACAAAATCTGGCCTAACCTAATAATGCCCTTCTCATGTTAGGTTCCAGAAT